CACCTGGGCACAGCTGAGGGGGGGGAAATGGGGAAAAAATGGCGAAAATTGGGGAAAAAAATGGCGAAATTTGGGAGAAAATCGGGTGAAAATTGGGGAAAATCGATGAAAATTGGGGGGAATTTGGTGAAAATTGGGGGTTTAGGGACACCTGGGCACAGCCGGGGGCACCTGGGTACAGATGAGGGGGGGGAGAAATGGGGAAAATGGCGAAAATTGGGAGAAAATCGGTGAAAATTGGGGGGAAATCAGTGAAAATTGGGGGAAATCGGTGAAAATTGGGGGAAATCGGTGAAAATTTGGAGTTTAGGGACACCTGGGCACAGCTGGGGGACAGATGAGGGGGGAAATGGGGAAAAAATGGGGAAAAAATGGGGGAAAATTGGGGGAAAATTGGGGGGAAATCGGAGAAAATTGGGGGAAAATTGGGAGAAAATCGGGGGAAAATTGGGAGAAAATCGGTGAAAATTGGGGGGAAATTGGGGAAAATTGGGGGTTTAGGGACAGCTGGGCACAGCTGGGGGGGAGAAATGGGGGGAAATGGGGGAAAAATGGTGATATTTGGGGGGGAAATTGGTAGGAAATTGGTGAAAATTGGGGGAAAATTGGGGGAAAATGGGTGGAAATTTGGGAGAAAATCGGTGAAAATTGGAGAAAATCGGTGAAAATTGGGGGAAATCGGGGAAAATTGGGGGTTTAGGAACACCTGGCACAGCTGGGGGAGAGATGAGGGGGGAAATGGGGAAAAAATGGGGAAAATTGGGGGGAAATTGGGGGGAAATTGGGGGGAAATTGGTGGAAATTGGGGGTTTAGGGGACACCTGGGATGTAACCTGGGCAAAGCTGGGCACAGCTGGGGGACAGATGAGGGGGGAAATGGGGAAAATTGGGAGAAAATTGGTGAAAATTGGGGGGAAATGGGTGAAAATTTGGGGGAAAATGGGTGGAAATTGGGGATTTAGAGACACCTGGATGTACCTGGGCACACCTGGGCACACCTGGGATGTACCTGGGCACACCTGGGCACAGCTGGGGGGGGAAATGGGGAAAAAATGGTGAAAATTGGAGAAAATCGGGGAAAATTGGGGGAAAATTCGGGAGAAAATTGGGGGAAAATCGGTGAAAATTGGGGAGAAATGGGTGAAAAATTGGGGGGAAATTGGGGAAAATTGGGGGTTTAGGGACACCTGGGCACAGCTGAGGGCACCTGGGGAGATCTGGGCACACCTGGGATGTACCGGGCACAGCTGGGGGACAGATGAGGGGGAAATGGGGAAAAATGGGCAAAAATTGGGAGAAAATCGGTGAAAATTGGGGGGAAATCAGTGAAAAATTGGGGGGTTTAGGGACACCTGGGGGCACCTGGGGAGACGTGGGGGCACAGCTGGGGGACAGAGGAGGGGGGAAATGGGGAAAAAATGGCAAAAATTGGGGAGAAAATTGGTAGAGAAATTGGTGAAAATTTGGGGGAAAATCGGTGAAAATTGGGGGGAAATGGGTGGAAATTGGGGGTTTAGGGACACCTGGGCACAGCTGGGCACAACTGGGCACAGCTGGGGGACAGAGGAGAGGGGAAATGGGGGAGAAAGGGAGAAAATTGGTGAAAATTGGGGGGAAATGGGTGAAAATTGGGGGGAAATTGGGGAAAATTGGGGGTTTAGGACAGCTGGGCACAGCTGGGCACATCTGAGTTGCACCAATGGGTGCCCATCGCTGCCCCGCAGCGCCCACTGGGTGCCCATTGCTGACCATGGGGTGCCCATTGCTGACCATGGGGTGCCCATTGCTGACCACTGGGTGCCCATGGGGTGCCCATCAATGACCATTGCTGACCATTGGGTGCCCTTCAATGACCATGGGGTGCCCATTGCTGACCACTGGGTGCCTATTGGGTGCCCATCAATGACCATCAATGACCATCAATGACCACTGGGTGCCCATCAATGACAATTGGGTGCCCATTGCGGACCATTGCTGACCACTGGGTGCCCATTGCTGACCATCAATGACCATTGGGTGCCCATCAATGACCATTGCTGACCATTGGGTGCCCATCAATGTTCATCAATGTCCATCAATGACCATCGATGACCATTGGGTGCCCATCAATGCCCATCAATGACCATTGGGCGCCCATTGCTGACCATTGCTGACATTGGGTGCCCATTGCTGACCATGGGGGTGCCCATTGCTGACCATTGGGTGCCTATTGAGCGCCCATCAATGACCATTGGGTGCCCGTTGCTGACCATTGCTGACCACTGGGTGCCCATCAATGCCCATTGCTGACCACTGGGTGCCCATTGCTGACCATTGGGCACCCATCAATGACCATGGGTGCCCATCAATGACCATCAATGCCCACTGGGTGCCCATCAATGACCATGGGGCGCCCATTTCACCCCCCGGGCTGCCCCCCATGGGTGCCCCCCACCCAGCTGTGCCCCCAGCTGTGACCCAGCTGTGCCCTGCAGGTGGTGCAGTTCAAGCAGCAATCCCGGCTGGAGGAGAAGCGCAAGAAGGCCCTGGACCTGCAGCTGGATTTCATCGTGGGCCAGACCGAGCGCTACTCGGACCTGCTGAGCCGCAGCCTCAACGCGCCCCGGCCGCGCCCCGACGCCCTCGGCTGCCCAGGTAACCCTGGAAAAGGGGCTGGGGGGCACCTCGAGGGGGCTGGGGGTGCCTGGAGGGGGTCTGGGGGTGCCTGGAAGGGGTTTGGGGCAGCTTGGGGGGGTTTGGGGTGCCTGGAGGGGGTTTGGGGGTGCCTGGAGGGGTTTGGGGGTATCTGGAGGAGGTTTGGGGGTGTCTGGAAGGGGTTTGGGGGCAATCTCAAAGGGGTTTGGTGGTGCCTGGAGGGGTTTGGGGGCATCTCAGGAGGGTTTGGGGGCACCTGGAGGGGGTTTGGGGGCGCCTGGAGGGGTTTGGGGGCATCTCAGAGGGGTTTGGGGGCATCTCAGAGGGGTTTGGGGGTACCTGGAGGGGTTTGGGGGTGCCTGGAAGGGGTTTGGGGGCATCTTGGGGGGGTTTGGGGGTACCTGGAAGGGGTTTGGGGTCATCTCAAAGGGGTTTGGGGTCATCTGGAAGGGGTCTGGGGCATCTCAGGGGGGTTTTTGGAGGTGCCTGGAAGGGGCTTGGGGGCACCTGGAGGGGTTTGGGGGCATCTCAGGGGGGGTTGGGCCGTACCTGGAGCAGGTTTGGGGGGTACCCTGGAAGGGGTTTGGGGTCATCTCAAAGGGGTTTGGGGGCACCTGGCGGGGTTTGGGGCACCTGAGAGAGTGGAGAGCTCACCTGGGGAGGGTTTGAGGGGTTTGGGGGTATCTGGAAGGGGTTTGGGGGCACCTGGAGGGGTTTGGGGGTACCTGGAGGGGGTTTTGGGGGTGCCAGGAAGGGGCTTGGGGGCACCTGGAGGGGGCTTGGGGGCATCTCAGGGGGGTTTGGGGGTGCCTGGAGGGGGTTTGGGGGTGCCTGGAAGGGTTTGGGGGCATCTCAAGGGGGTTTGGGGGCATCTCAGGGGGGTTTGGGGGGCCTGGAAGGGGTTTTGGGGGTGCCTGGAGGGGGGTTTGGGGGCATCTCAGGGGGGTTTGGGGGTACCTGGAGCAGGTTTGGGGGTACCTGGAGCAGGTTTTGGGGGCATCTCAGGGGGGTTTGGGGGCGCCTGGAGGGGGTTTGGGGGTATCTCGGGGGGGGTTTGGGGGCACCTGGAGGGGTTTGGGGTCATCTCAAGGGGGTTTGGGGTCGCCAGGAAGGGGTTTGGGGGCATCTCAGGGGGGTTTGGGGGGGTGCCAGAAGGGGTTTGGCGGTAGCTGGAGGGGTTTGGGGGCATCTGGAGGGGTTTGGGGTCACCTGGGGAGGGTTTGAGGGGGTCTGGGGGCATCTCAGGGGGGTTTGGGGGTACCTGGAGGGGGTTTGGGGGCATCTCGTGGGGGTTTGGGGGTGCCTGGAGGGGTTTGGGGTCATCTGAGAGAGTGCAGAGCTCACCTGGGGAGGGTTTGAGGGGTTTAGGGGCATCTCAAAGGGGCTTGGGGGCACCTGGAGGGGGTTTGGGGGCACCTGGAGGGGTCTGGGGGCGCCAGGAAGGGGTTTGGGGGCATCTCAGGTGGGTTTGGGGTCACCTGGGGAGGGTTTGAGGGGTTTGGGGGCACTCAGGAGGGTTTGGGGGCATCTGGAAGGGGTTTGGGGTCAGCTTGGGGGGGTTTGGAGGTACCTGGAGGGGTTTTGGGGGCAACTCAGGAGGGTTTTGGGGGTGCCTGGAGAGGGTTTGGGGGCACCTGGAGGGGGTTTGGGGGTGCCTGGAGGGGGTTTGGGGTGCCTGGAGGGGTTTTGGGGCATCTCAGAGGGGTTTGGGGGCATCTCAGAGGGGTTTGGGGGTGCCTGGAGGGGTTTGGGGTCATCTCAAAGGGGTTTGGGGGCATCTGGAGGGGGTTTGGGGTCACTTGGGGAGGGTTTGAGGGGTTTGGGGGCACCTCAGAGGGTCTGGGGGCATCTCAGAGGGGTTTGGGGGTGCCTGGAGGGGGTTTGGGGGCATCTCAGGGGGTTTGGGGTCACCTGAGAGAGTGGAGAGCTCACCTGGGGAGGGTTTGAGGGGTTTGGGGGCACCTCAGGGGGGTTTTGGGGGCATCTTGGGGGGGTTTGGGGGTAGCTTGGGGGGGGTTTGGGGGTGCCTGGAGGGGTTTGGGGGCACCTGAGAGAGTGCAGAGCTCACCTGGGGAGGGGTTTGGGGGCATCTCAGGGGGTTTGGGGGTACCTGGAGGGGTTTGGGGGCATCTTGAGGGGGTTTGGGGGGTAGCTTGGGGGGGGTTTTGGGGTCATCTCAAAGGGGTTTGGGGGTACCTGGGGAGGGTTTGAGGGGTCTGGGGGCATCTCAGGGGAGTTTGGGGGTACCTGGAGGGGTTTGGGGGCACCTGGGTGATGTGGGTGGGGTCCAGGTGTTCCCCGTGGGTGCTCAGGCAGGTCCGGGTGTCCCCCATGGGTTCCAGGTGGTTCAGGTGTCTCCCATGGGTGTTCAAGTGTCCCCCATGGGTGCTGGGGGCTCCGGGTGTCTCCCATGGGTGTTCAAGTGTCCCCCATGGGTGCTGGGGGCTCCGGGTTGTCTCCCCATGGGTTCCCAGGTGACTCCCATGGGTGCTGGGGGCTCCGGGTGTCACCCCTGGGTTCCAAGTGTCACCCATGGGTGCTGGGGGCTCTGGGTGTCCCCCATGGGTGCTCAGGAGGTCCAGGTGTCCCCCATGGGTTCCAAGTGTCACCCATGGGTGCTCAGGGGATCCGGGTGTCTCCCATGGGTGCTCAGCTGTCACCCATGGGTGCTGGGGGCTCCCCTGCCCCTCCCCCACCCCTGTTCTCTCCTCCACAGCCTCGGCCCCGAGCCCCCCCCGGCCCCTCGGGGACCTCCTGGGCTCCCTCCCCCCACAGGTAACGCCCCTCCCCACCCCTCCCCCACCCCCTCCCCCCGCAGGTAACGCCCCTCCCCCCACCCACCCCTCCCCCACCCCTTGGGGCAAAGCTCAGACATGGGGGGGGGAGGGGGGGGAAAAGAATTGGGGATTTTTGGGGTTTTTTGGGATTTTTGGGGGATTTTTTGGGGATTTTTTGGGGTTTTTTTGGGGGTTTTTTTTGGGGATTTTTTGGGGTTATTTTTGGGGTTTTTTTGGGATTTTTTTGGGGTTATTTTTGGGGGGTTTTTTTGGGGTTTTTTTTTTGGGATTTTTGGGGATTTTTTGGATTTTTTCTGGGGTTTTTTGGGGATTTTTGGGGATATTTTTGGGGTTATTTTTGGGGTTTTTTTCTGGTATTTTTTGGGATTTTTTCTGGGATTTTTTGGGTTTTTTTGGGGGTTTTTTGGGGATTTTTGGGATTTTTTGGGGGATTTTTTATGATTTTTTTTATTTTTTGGGGATTTTTGGGGGGTTTTTTTGGATTTTTTGGGATTTTTTTTTTGGATTTTTTGGTGATTTTTTGGGATTTTTTTTATTTTTTGGGGGATTTTTTGGGTTTTTTTGGGTTTTTTGGGGATTTTTGGGGATTTTTTTGGGATTTTTTCTGGGATTTTTTGGATTTTGGGGGATTTTTTCGGGATTTTTTGGGTTTTTTTTCTGGATTTTTCTGGGGATTTTTGGAGGATTTTTTTGGGATCTTTTGGGGATTTTTGGGGATTTTTTGGGGGATTTTTTTGGGATCTTTTGGGGATTTTTGGGGGTTTTTCGGGGATTTTTTTGGGATTTTTTGGGTTTTTTTCTGGGGATTTTTGGAGGATTTTTTTGGGGATTTTTTGGGTTTTTTGGGGATTTTTTGGGGGATTTTTTTTGGGATCTTTTGGGGGTTTTTTTGGGGATTTTTTCGGGATTTTTTTTTTGACCTTTATGATTTTTTTTGGGAGTATTTTTGGGGATTTCTTTTATTTTCTTGGGGATATTTTTTAAAAATTTTGGGGATTTTTTTAATTTTTGGGGGATTTCTTTTTAACTTTTTGGGGATTTTTGGGTTTTTTTTGGGGGATTTTTTTGGTTTTTTTTGGGATTCTTTGGGTTTTTTTGGGATTTTTTGGGGATTTTTGGGGATTTTTGGGGTTTTTTTTGGGGTTTTTTCTGGGGTTTTTTTGGGATTTTTTTGGGGATTTTTTCTGGGATTTTTGGGGTTTTTTGGGGATTTTTTTGGGGATTTTTTGGATTTTTTTGGGGATTTTTTGGGGATTTTTTCGGGGATTTTTTGGGATTTTTTTGGGATTTTTGGGGGGTTTTGGGGGGTTTTTTTGGGGATTTTTTTGGGGGATTTTTTTCTGGATTTTTTGGGGATTTTTTTGGATTTTTTTTGGGATTTTTTGGGTTTTTTTTTGGGGTTTTTTGGGATTTTTGGGGGGATTTTTTGGGGGGATTTTTTGGGGATTTTTCTGGGATTTTTTCTGGGATTTTCTTGGGGATTTTTCTGGGATTTTTTTGGGTTTTTTTGGAGATTTTTTTTTTTATTTTTTGGGGGATTTTTTTGGGATTTTTTGGGGTTATTTTGGGGGATTTTTCTGGGATTTTTGGGATTTTTTCAGGGATTTTTTGGGATTTTTTGGGGATTTTTTGGGATTTTTTCAGGGATTTTTTGGGATTTTTTGGGGGTTGGTTGGGATTTTTTCTGGGATTTTCTTGGGGATTTTTCTGGGATTTTTGGGATTTTTTGGGGGATTTTTTGGGGATTTTTTTGGGGATATTTTTTGGGGATTTTTCTGGGATTTTTTGGGTTTTTTCTGGGATTTTCTTGGGGATTTTTCTGGGATTTTTGCGATTTTTTTGGGGATTTTTCTGGGATTTTTTTGGAATTTTTTGGGGGGATTTTTTTTTGGTTTTTTTTTGTGTTTTGGGTTTTTTTTGGGGTTTTTCTGGGATTTTTGCGATTTTTTTGGGGATTCTTCTGGGATTTTTGGGATTTTTTTTGGGATTTTTTTGGGGATTTTTTTGGATTTTTTCTGGGATTTTTTTGGGGATTTTTCTGGGATTTTTTTGGGGGATTTTTTGGGGGGATTTTTTGGGGATTTTTTGGGGGGATTTTCTTTGGGTTTCTTTGGATTTTTGGGGGTTTTTTTTGGGATTTTTTCTGGGATTTTTTTGGGGATTTTTCGGGGATTTTTTTGGGATTTTTTCTGGGATTTTCTTGGGGATTTTTCTGGGATTTTTGGGATTTTTTTTTGGGATTTTTCTGGGATTTTTTGGGGATATTTTTGGGATTTTTGGGGATTCTTTGGGATTTTTTCGTTTTTTTTTTTTTATTTTTTGGGGTTATTTTTGGGGTTTTTTTCTGGGATTTTTGTGGGGATTTTCTGGTATTTTTTCGGGGTTTTTTTCTGGGATTTTTTTGGAATTTTTTTGGGGAGATTTTTCGGTTTTTTTTCTGGGATATTTTTGGGAATTTCTTTGTGCCCCTCCCCCCCCCTGATCTGTCCCCTCCCCCCAGGTTCTGAGGCGGGGCCGGGACCCTCCCCCGCCCTGGGGCCCCCGTGAGGAGGACGAGGAGTTCGAGGCTGAGGAGGAGGAAGGTGAGACCCGGTTTGGGCCAATTTGGGGCCATTTGGGGCCATTTTCCATCATTTTGGGCCATTTTGGTTCCATTTCCTGCAATTTGCTGCCATTTTTGGCCATTTTGGTGCCATTTTCTGCCACTTTGGTGCCATTTTTTTACCATTTTGGGGCCGGTTTTGGCCATTTTGGTCTCGTTTGGTGCCATTTGAGGCCAATTTTTTGTCATTTTCTGTCACTTTGGTGCCATTTTGGTTCCATTTGCTGCAATTTGGTGCCATTTTGGTTCAATTTGCCTCCATTTGCTGCCATTTTTGCTCCATTTGGTGCCATTTTGGTGCCATTTTCCGCCATTTTCCACCATTTTCAGCCACTTTGGTGCCATTTGAGGCCAATTTTTTGTCATTTTCTGCCACTTTGCTGCCATTTTTGGCCATTTTGGGGCCATTTTCCACCATTTTGGGCCATTTTGGTTCCATTTGCTGCAATTTGGTGCCATTTTCTGCCATTTTGGTGCCATTTGAGGCCAATTTTTTGTCATTTTGTGCCATTTTTGGCTCTTTTGGTTCCATTTGCTACAATTTGGTGCCATTTTGGTGCCATTTTTTGGCCATTTTCATTCCATTTGCTCCATTTGTTGCCATTTTTGGCCACTTTGGTGCCATTTTTTTTACCATTTTGGGGCCGGTTTTGGCCATTTTGGTCTCGTTTGCTGCCATTTGAGGCCAATTTTTTGTCATTTTCTGTCACTTTGGTGCCATTTTGGTTCCATTTGCTGCAATTTGGTGCCATTTTGGGGCCATTTGGTGCCATTTTGGTTCAATTTGCTGCAATTTGGTGCCATTTTTGCTCCATTTGGTGCCATTTGGGGCCATTTTGGGGCCATTTTCCACCATTTTGGGCCATTTTGGTTCAATTTCCTGCAATTTGATGCCATTTTGGCCATTTTGGGGCCATTTTCCACCATTTTGGGCCATTTTGGTTCCATTTGCTACAATTTGGTGCCATTTTTTGCTCCATTTGGGGCCATTTGGGCCATTTTGGTTCAATTTGCCTCAATTTGGTGCCATTTTGGTGCAATTTTGGTGCCATTTTCTGCCATTTTGGTGCCATTTGAGGCCAATTTTTTGTCATTTTGTGCCATTTTTGGCCATTTTGGTTCCATTTGCTACAATTTGGTGCCATTTTTGGCCATTTTGGGGCCATTTTTGGCCATTTTGGTTCCATTTCCTGCAATTTGCTGCCATTTTTGGCCATTTTGGTGCCATTTTTTTACCATTTTGGGGCCGGTTTTGGCCATTTTGGTCTCATTTGGTGCCAATGTTTTGTCATTTTCTGTCACTTTGGTGCCATTTTGGTGCCATTTGGGTGCCAATTTTTTGCCATTTTCTGTCACTTTGCTGCCATTTTTGGCCTTTTTGGCCATTTTGGGGCCATTTTGGTCCATTTTTGTTCAATTTGCTGCAATTTGCTGCCATTTTTGCTCCATTTGGTGCCATTTTGGGCCATTTTGGGGCCATTTTCCACCATTTTGGGCCATTTTGGTTCAATTTCCTGCAATTTGATGCCATTTTTGGCCATTTTGGGGCCATTTTCCACCATTTTGGGCCATTTTCGTTCAATTTGCCTCAATTTGGTGCCATTTTTGCTCCATTTGGGGCCATTCTGGGCCATTTTGGTTCAATTTGCCTCAATTTGGTGCCATTTTGGTGCCATTTTGGTGCCATTTTCTGCCATTTTGGTGCCATTTGAGGCCAATTTTTTGTCATTTTGTGCCATTTTTGGCTCTTTTGGTTCCATTTGCTGCAATTTGGTGCCATTTTGGTGCCATTTTTTGGCCATTTTAATTCAATTTGCTCCATCTGGTGCCATTTTTGGCCACTTTGGTCTCATTTGGTGCCATTTTTGACCATTTTTGGCCATTTTGGCCTCATTTGGTCTCATTTTTTTGCCATTTTTGCCCATTTTTCTCTCATTTTTGCGCCATTTTGATGCCATTTTTGCCCATTTTGGTGCCATTTTTTGCCATTTTGGTCCCATTTGGTGCCATTTTTGCCCATTTTCCTCTCATTTTGTGCCATTTGGTGCCATTTTTGGTGCCATTTTGGTGCCATTTTGGTGCCATTTTAGTCTCATTTGGTGCCATTTTGTGCCATCTTGGTACCATTTTGTGCCATTTTTGGCCATTTTGGTCCGATTTGCTCTCATTTGGTGCCATTTTTGGTGCTATTTTTGGTTCCATTTTTTTCCATTTTTTCCCATTTTGTGCCGTTTTTGGTGCCATTTTGTGCCATTTTTCTCTCATTTTTCTCTCATTTTTTGCCATTTTTGGTGCCATTTTTTGCCATTTTTGCCAATTTTTCTCTCATTTGGTGCCATTTTGTGCCATTTTTCTCTCATTTTGTTCCATTTTTGGTGCCATTTTGTGCCATTTCTGCCCATTTTCTGTCATTTTTTGCCATTTTTGCCCATTTTTCTCTCATTTTTCCCATTTTGTGCCATTTTTGCCCATTTTTCTCTCATTTTGTGCCAATTTTGGTGTCATTTTTGGTGCCATTTTGTGCCATTTCTGCCCATTTTTCTGTCATTTTTTGCCATTTTGTGCCATTTTTGGTGCCATTTTTGCCATTTTGTGCCATTTTTGGTGCCATTTTTGGTGCCATTTTTCTCTCTTTTTTTGCCATTTTGTGCCATTTTTGGTGCCATTTTGTGCCATTTTTGGCCATTTTTCTCTCATTTTTCCCATTTTTCTCTCATTTTTTCCCATTTTTCTCTCATTTTTTCCCATTTTCTGCCATTTCTGCCCATTTTTCTCTCATTTTTTCCCATTTTGGTGCCATTTCTGCCCATTTTTCTCTCATTTTTCCCATTTTGTGCCATTTTTGCCCGTTTTTCTCTCATTTTTTCCCATTTTTGTGCCATTTTTGCCCATTTTTCTCTCATTTTTTCCCATTTTTCTCTCATTTTTTCCCATTTGGTGCCATTTTTGCCCATTTTTCTCTCTTTTTTTGCCATTTTGTGCCATTTTTGCCCATTTTTCTCTCATTTTTCCCATTTTGTGCCATTTCTGCCCATTTTTCTCTCATTTTTTCCCATTTTTCTCTCATTTTTTCCCATTTTTGTGCCATTTTTGCCCATTTTTCTCTCATTTTTTCCCATTTTTGGCCATTTTTGGCCGTTTCTGGTGACGTTTCCGTGTCCCCGGGCAGGTGAGGATGAGGAGGACACGATCGCGGCCCAGGAGCGCCTGGAGGGCGACGTCGATCACCAGCAGGAGCTGGACGACCTGGCCAGGGAGGGTGAGTGCCCAAAACCACCCAAAATTACCCCAAAATCACCCAAAATCACCCAAAATTAACCCAAAATACAGAAAAGTGAACAAAATGGAAAAAAGAGCTCTAAAAGCTGGAAAAAACCCCATAAAAATACCCCAAAATTAACCCAAAATCAACCCAAAATCCAGAAAAGTGAACAAAATGCAAAAAAAACACTCTAAAAGCTGGAAAAAACGCCATAAAAATACCCCAAAATTTACCCCAAAATCCTGAGCAGGAGCTGGACGACCTGGCCAGGGAGGGTGAGTGCCCAAAACCACCCAAAATCACCCAAAATCACCCAAAATCACCCAAAATTAACCCAAAATACAGAAAAGTGAACAAAATGCAAAAAAAACACTCTAAAAGCTGGAAAAAACCCCATAAAAATACCCCAAATTTACCCCAAAATCAGCCCAAAATCAACCCAAAACTACAGAAAAATGCCCAAAAACTAAAAAAACCCCACGCTCTAAAAGGTGGAAAAAACCCCATAAAAATACCCAAAATTAACCCAAAATTACCCCCAAATTAACCCAAAATACAGAAAAATGAACAAAATTTTTAAAAAACGCTCTAAAAGCTGGAAAAAACCCATGAAAATACCCAAAATTAACCCCAAAATTAACCCAAAATTGTCACTAAAAAACCCCAAATCACCCCAAATTAACCCAAAATCAACCCAAAATACAGAAAAATGTCCAAAATTAAAAAAAAAAGGCTCTAAAAGCTGGAAAAAAACCCTAAAAATGCCCAAAATCACCCAAAATCAACCCAAAAATACAGAAAAATGCCCAAAATTAAAAAAAAAACGCTCTAAAAGCTGGGAAAAAACCCTAAAAATGCCCCAAATTAACCCAAAATTTACCCAAAATTACCCCAAAATTAACCCAAAATCAACCCAAAATACAGAAAAATGCCCAAAATTCACCTAAAATACCCCAGAGTGCCCCAAAATGCTGAGCAGGAGCTGGACGACCTGGCCAGGGAGGGTGAGTGCCCAAAACCACCCAAAATTAACCCAAAACCACCCAAAATTAACCCAAAATCACCCAAAATACAGAAAAGTGAACAAAATGCAAAAAAAACGCTCTAAAAGCTGGAAAAAACCCCATAAAAATACCCAAAAGTTACCCTAAAATCACCCAAAATTAACCCAAAATAACCCAAAATCACCCAAAATACAGAGAAATGCCCAAAAATTAAAAAAAAAGCAGCGCTTTAAAAGCTATAAAAAACCCCAATAAAAATACCCAAAATTACCCCAAAATTAGCCCAAAATTGGCACTAAAAAACCCCGAATCACCCAAAATCAACCCAAAATTAACCCAAATTCACCCAAAATCAACTCAAAAAACAGAAAATGTCCAAAATTAAAAAAAAAAGGTCTAAACGGTGGAAAAAACCCCATAAAAATACCCAAAATTAACCCCAAATCAACCCAAAATACAGAAAAATGCCCAAAATTCTCCTAAAATACCCCAGAGTGCCCCAAAATCCTGAGCAGGAGCTGGACGACCTGGCCAGGGAGGGTGAGTGCCCAAAACCACCCAAAATTAACCCAAAATCACCCAAAATTAACCCAAAATTCACCCAAAATCAACCCAAAATCACCCCAAAACCACCCAAAATCACCCCAAATTAACCCAAAATCACCCAAAATCACCCAAAATTAACCCGAAATACAGAAAAGTGAACAAAATGGAAAAAAAAGCTCTAAAAGCTGGAAAAAACCCCATAAAAATACCCCAAAATTAACCCCAAATCAACCCAAAAATACAGAAAAATGCCCAAAATTTAAAAAAAAACTCTCTAAAAGCTGGGAAAAATACCCTAAAAATGGCCAAAATTAACCCAAATCACCCAAAATACAGAAAATGTCCAAAATTAAAAAAATGCTCTAAAAGCTGGAAAAAAACCATAAAAATATCCAAAATGAACCCAAAATACAGAAAAATGCCCAAAATTAAAAAAAAAAAAACGCTCTAAAAGCTGGAAAAAACCCCATAAAAATACCCAAAATTAACCGAAAATTACCCCAAATTTACCCAAAATCAACCCAAAATACAGAAAAATGCCCAAAAATTTTAACAAAAACCTCATAAAAATACTCCAGAAATACCCAAAATTACCTAAAACTGCCCCTAAAAAACCCAAAATGTCCCAAAATCAGCCTTAAAAAAACCCCAAATGATCCAAAATTTGGCCCTAAAAACCCCAAAATGATCCAAAATCGGCCCTAAAAAGCCAAAATGACCCAAAATTGGCACTAAAAAACCTCAAATCACCCCAAATCAACCCAAAATTAACCCAAAATACAGAAAAATGAACAAAATTTAAAAAAAAAAACGCTCTAAAAGCTGGAAAAAACCCTAAAAATACCCAAATTTACCCCAAAATTAACCCAAAATCAACCCAAAATACAGAAAAATGCCCAAAATTAAAAAAAAATGCTGTAAAAGCTGGAAAAAACCAATAAAAATACCCAAAATCACCCCAAAATTAACCCAAAATACAGAAAAATGCCCAAAATTTTTAAAAAATGCTGTAAAAGGTGGAAAAAACCCATAAAAATACCCAAAATTTACCCTAAAATCACCCAAAATAACCCAAAATCACCCAAAATCCAGAAAAATGCCCAAAAACTAAAAAGAACCCACGCTCTAAAAGGTGGAAAAAACCCCATGAAAATACCCAAAATTACCCCCAAAATTAACCCAAAATTGGCACTAAAAAACCCCAAATCACCCAAAATCAACCCAAAATTAACCCAAATTCACCCAAAATCAACCCAAAATACAGAAAAATGCCCAAAATTAAAAAAAAAACGCTCTAAAAGCTGGGAAAAACCCCATAAAAATACCCAAAATTTAACCGAAAATTACCCCAAATTTACCCAAAATCAACCCAAAATACAGAAAAATGCCCAAAAATTTTAACAAAAACCTCATAAAAATACTCCAGAAATACCCAAAATTACCTAAAACTGCCCCTAAAAAGCCCAAAATGTCCCAAAATCAGCCTTAAAAAAACCCCAAATGATCCAAAATTTTGCCCTAAAAACCCCGAAATGATCCAAAATCGGCCCTAAAAAGCCAAAATGACCCAAAATTGGCACTAAAAAACCTCAAATCACCCCAAATCAACCCCAAATTAACCTGAAATACAGAAAAATGAACAAAATTTTTAAAAAACACTCTAAAAGCTGGAAAAAACCCTAAAAATACCCAAAATTTACCCCAAAATCACCCAAAATTAACCCAAAATACAGAAAAATGTCCAAAATTAAAAAAAAAACGCTCTAAAAGCTGGAAAAAAACCCTAAAAATGCCCAAATTTACCCTAAAATCACCCAAAATTAACCCAAAATCACCCAAAATCAACCCAAAATTACCCCAAAATCCAGAAAAGTGAACAAAATGCAAAAAAACCACTCTAAAAGCTGGAAAAAACCCCATAAAAATACCCCAAAATTACCCCAAAATTAACCCCAAAATCAACCCAAAAATACAGAAAAATGCCCAAAATTAAAAAAAAAAACTCTCTAAAAGCTGGGAAAAAACCCCTAAAAATGGCCAAAATTAACCCAAAATCACCCAAAATACAGAAAATGTCCAAAATTAAAAAAAATGCTCTAAAAGCTGGAAAAAAACCATAAAAATATCCAAAATTACCCCAAAATTACCCCAAAATTACCCCAAAATTACCCCAAAATCAGCCCAAAATACAGAAAAATGCCCAAAATTCACCTAAAATACCCCAGAGTGCCCCAAAATCCTGAGCAGGAGCTGGACGACCTGGCCAGGGAGGGTGAGTGCCCAAAACCACCCAAAATTCACCCAAAATCACCCAAAATCACCCAAAATCACCCAAAATCACCCCAAAATTAACCAAAATCACCCAAAATTAACCCAAAATTAACCCAAAATCACCCAAAATCAACCAAAAATCACCCAAAATTACCCCAAAATCACCCAAAATTAACCAAAATTAACCCCAAAATCAACCCAAAATCAACCCAAAATTCACCCAAAATCACCCAAAATCAACCCAAAATTAACCGAAAATCACTCAAAATCAACCAAAATTACCCCAAAATCACCCAAAATTAACCCAAAATCAGCCAAAATCACCCAAAATTAACCCGAAATACAGAAAAGTGAACAAAATGAAAAAAAAAGCTCTAAAAGCTGGAAAAAACCCCATAAAAATACCCCAAAATTACGCCCAAAATCACCCAAAATACAGAAAAATGCCCAAAATTCACCTAAAATACCCCAGAGTGCCCCAAAATCCTGAGCAGGAGCTGGACGACCTGGCCAGGGAGGGTGAGTGCCCAAAACCACCCAAAATTAACCCAAAATCACCCAAAATTACCCCAAATTAACCAAAATCACCCAAAATCACCCAAAATCAACCCAAAACCACCCAAAATCACCCAAAATTAACCCAAAATTAACCCAAAATTAACCCAAAATCACCCAAAATCAACCCAAAATCCAGAAAAATGCCCAAAAACTAAAAAAAACCCCACGCTCTAAAAGGTGGAAAAAACCCCATGAAAATACCCAAAATTACCCCCAAAATTAACCTAAAATACAGAAAATGAACAAAATGTAAAAAACGCTCTAAAAGCTGGAAAAAAACCCCTTAAAATACCCAAAATTTACCCCAAAATTAGCCCAAAATTGGCACTAAAAAACCCCGAATCACCCAAAATCAACCCAAAATTAACCCAAATTCACCCAAAATCAACTCAAAAAACAAAATGTCCAAAATAAAAAAAAAAAGGTCTAAAAGCTGGAAAAAAACCCCATAAAAATACCCCAAAATTAACCCCAAATCAACCCAAAATACAGAAAAATGCCCAAAATTAAAAAAAAAAAACCGCTCTAAAAGCTGGGAAAAAACCCCATAAAAATGCCCAAAATTTACCCCAAATTTACCCCAAAATCAACCCAAAATCACCCCAAAATTAACCCCAAATCAACCCAAAATACAGAAAAATGCCCAAAATTCACCTAAAATACCCCAGAGTGCCCCAAAATCCTGAGCAGGAGCTGGACGACCTGGCCAGGGAGGGTGAGTGCCCAAAACCACCCAAAATCACCCAAAATCAACCCAAAATCACCCAAAATACCCCAAAATTAACCCAAAATTAACCCAAAATTAACCCAAAATACAGAAAAGTGAACAAAATGGAAAAAAGAGCTCTAAAAGCTGGAAAAAACCCCATAAAAATACCCCAAAATTAACCAAAATTAACCCAAAATCACCCCAAAACTACAGAAAAATGCCCAAAAACTAAAAAAACCCCACGCTCTAAAAGGTGGAAAAAACCCCATAAAAATGCCCAAATTATCCCCAAATTACCCCCAAATCAACCCAAAAATACAGAAAAATGCCCAAAATTAAAAAAAAAATTGCTCTAAAAGCTGGGAAAAAACCCCATAAAAATACCCAAAATTTACCCCAAAATTAACCCAAAATTGGCACTAAAAAACCCCGAATCACCCAAAATCAACCCAAAATTACCCCAAAATACAGAAAAATGCCCAAAATTCACCTGAAATACCCAAAATTTACCCCAAAATCCTGAGCAGGAGCTGGACGACCTGGCCAGGGAGGGTGAGTGCCCAAAACCACCCAAAATTAACCCAAAATCCCCCAAAATCACCCAAAATTAACCCAAAATTAACCCAATATCAACCCAAAACCACCCAAAATTAACCAAAATCACCCAAAATCAACCCAAAACCACCCAAAATCACCCAAAATCAACCCAAAATCACCCAAAATCACCCAAAATTAACCCGAAATACAGAAAAGTGAACAAAATGGAAAAAAAAAGCTCTAAAAGCTGGAAAAAACCCCATAAAAATACCCCAAAATTTACCCCAAAATTACCCCAAAACCACCCAAAATCAACCCAAGATCACCCAAAATCAACCCAAAATCCAGAAAAATGCCCAAAATTAAAAAAAAACTCTCTAAAAGCTGGAAAAAAAAACAGAAAAATGCCCAAAATTACCCCCAAATTACCCCCAAATCAACCCAAAATACAGAAAAATGCCCAAAATTAAAAAAAAAGGCTCTAAAAGCTGGAAAAAAACCCCATAAAAATACCCAAAATTTACCCCAAAATTTACCCCAAAATTGGCACTAAAAAACCCCGAATCACCCAAAATCAACCCAAAATTAACCCAAAATCACCCAAAATCAACCAAAATCAACCCAAAATTTACCCAAATTCACCCAAAATCAACCCAAAATACAGAAAAATGCCCAAAATTAAAAACAAAAACGCTCTAAAAGCTGGAAAAAACCCATAAAAATACCCCAAATTTACCCTAAAATCACCCAAAATTACCCCAAAATCACCCAAAATCACCCCAAAACTACAGAAAAATGCCCAAAATTAAAAAAAAAAACCGCTCTAAAAGCTGGAAAAAACCCCATAAAAATACCCAAAATTAACCAAAAATTACCCCAAATTTACCCAAAATCAACCCAAAATACAGAAAAATGCCCAAAAATTTTAAAAAAAACCTCATAAAAATACTCCAGAAATACCCAAAATTACCTAAAACTGCCCCTAAAAAGCCCAAAATGTCCCAAAATCAGCCTTAAAAAAACCCCAAATTTGGCCCTAAAAACCCCAAAATGATCCAAAATCGGCCCTAAAAAGCCAAAATGACCCAAAATTGGCACTAAAAAACCTGAAATCACCCCAAATCAACCCAAAATTAACCCAAAATACAGAAAAATGTCCAAAATTAAGAAAAAAAAAATGCTGTAAAAGCTAGAAAGACCCCTAAAAATACCCAAAATCGCCCCAAAATTAACCCCAACTACAGAAAAATGCCCAAAATTTTAAAAAAATGCTCTAAAAGCTGGAAAAAAACCCTAAAAATGCCCAAATTTACCCTAAAATCACCCAAAATTAACCCAAAATAACCCAAAATCAACCCAAAACTACAGAAAAATGCCCAAAAACTAAAGAAAACCCACGCTCTAAAAGGTGGAAAAAACCCCATAAAAATACCTAAAATTACCCCCAAAATTAACCCAAAATCCAGGAAACCACCCCAAAATAGAAAAGAACCAAAAACATAAAAATACGCAAAAATTACCAAAAATGACCCCAAAATCCCCAGGTGCCCCCCAGGTGTCCCCAGGTGTCCCCAAGTGTGACTCTCAGGTGTCCCCAGGTGTCCCCAGGTGTGTTCCCCAGGTGTAACCCAGGTGTCCCCAGGTGTGTTCCAGGTGTGACCCAGGTGTGTTGCAGGTGTATTTTAGGTGTCCCCACATGTATCCCAGGTGTATTTTAGGCATCCCCAGGTGTGTCCCCAGGTGTCCCCAGCTGTTCCCCAGGTGTGACCCAGGTGTGTTCCAGGTGTGACCCAGGTGTATTTTAGGTGTCCCCAGGTGTGTTGCAGGTGTATTTTAGCTGCCCCCAGGTGTCCCAGGTGTATCTCAGGTGTGACCCAGGTGTGACCCAGGTGTGACCCACCTGTCCCAGCTGTTCCCCAGGTGTGACCCAGGTGTGTTGCAGGTGCCCCCAGGTGTGTCCCAGGTGTGTCCCCCAGGTGTGACCCAGGTGTGTTGCAGGTGTATTTTAGGTGTAACCCCAGCTGTTCCCCAGGTGTGACCCAGGTGTGTTGCAGGTGTATTTTGGGTGTCCCCAGGTGTGTTCCCCAGGTGTGACCCAGGTGTGTTGCAGGTGTGTCCCCAGGTGTGTCCCCAGGTGTGACCCAGGTGTGTTCCAGGTGTATTTTAGGTACCCCCAGGTGTGTCCCCAGGTGTGTCCCAGGTGTGTTGCAGGTGTATTTTAGGTGTCCCCAGCTGTCCCCAGGTGTGACCCAGGTGTATTTTAGGTGTGTCCCAGGTGTGTTCCCCAGGTGTGACCCAGGTGTGTTCCCCAGGTGTGTGACCCAGGTGTGTTGCAGGTGTATTTTAGGTGTTCCAGGTGTGACCCAGGTGTGTCCCAGCTGTTCCCCAGGTGTGACCCAGGTGTGTTCCAGGTGTATTTTAGGTGTCCCAGGTGTCCCAGGTGTGACCCAGGTGTGTTGCAGGTGTGACCCAGGTGTGACCCAGGTGTGTTCCAGGTGTCCCCAGATGTGTTCCCCAGGTGTGTCCCAGGTGTGACCCAGGTGTATTTTAGGTGTCCCAGGTGTGACCCAGCTGTTCCCAGGTGTGACCCAGGTGTGTTGCAGGTGCCCCCAGGTGTATCTCAGGTGTGTTCCCCAGGTGTGTTCCCCAGGTGTGTTGCAGGTGTATTTTAGGTGTCCCCAGCTGTATCCCAGGTGTCCCCAGGTGTGTTCCCCAGGTGTCCCCAGCTGTGTCCCCAGGTGTGTGACCCAGGTGTGTTTCAGGTGTATCTCAGGTGTATTTTAGGTGTCCCCAGGTGTGTCCCCCAGGTGTGTGACCCAGGTGTGTTTCAGGTGTATCTCAGGTGTATTTTAGGTGTCCCCAGGTGTGTTCCCAGGTGTGTGACCCAGGTGTGTTGCAGGTGTATTTTAGCTGTCCCCCAGCTGTATCTCAGGTGTCCCAGGTGTGTGACCCAGGTGTGACCCAGGTGTGTTTCAGGTGCGCTGCCCATGGAGGAGCTGCTCCAGCGTTACCGCGGCGCCTTCGCCGACTCCGACTGCGACTCCGCCCCCGGCGCCAGCAGCACCCGCTCAGGTGAGCACAGGTGGGACTGGGACCCCTCCCAGGTGTGACTGTACCTGCACAGGTGGGACTGGGACCCCTCCAGGTGTGACTGGGATTGTACCTGCACAGGTGGGACTGGGACTGCACAGGTGGGACTGGGACTGTCCAGGTGTGCTCTAAACCCCTCCCAGGTGTGACTGGGACCCCTCCAGGTGTGACTGGGACCTGCGCAGATGTGACTGTGATTGTCCAGGTGTGACTGTGATTGTACCTGCACAGGTGTGACAGGGACTGTCCAGGTGTGATTGTACCTGCACAGGTGGGACTGGACCTGCACAGGTGGGACTGGGACCTGGACCTGTCCAGGTGTGACAGGGACTGCACAGGTGTGACTGTACCTGCACAGGTGGGACTGGGACCCCTCCAGGTGTGACTGGGACCTGTACCTGCACAGGTGTGACTGTGATTGTCCAGGTGTGCCTGTACCTGTCCAGGTGTGACAGGGACCCATTAAGGTGTGACTGTGACTGTGACCCTGGCCAGGTGTGACGGGACCTGCACAGGTGGGACTGGGACTGTCCAGGTGTGTCTGTACCTGCACAGGTGGGACTGGGACTGTCCAGGTGTGCTCTAAACCCCTCCCAGGTGTGTCTGGACCTGCACAGGTGTGACAGGGACCTGCACAGGTGGGACTGGGACTGTCCAGGTGTGACAGGGACTGCACAGGTGGGACTGGGACCCTGCACAGGTGGGACTGGGATTGTACCTGCACAGGTGTGATTGTACCTGCACAGGTGGGACTGGGACCTGCACAGGTGGGACTGGGACTGTCCAGGTGTGTCTGTACCTGCCCAGGTGTGACTGGGACTGCACAGGTGGGACAGGGACCTGCACAGGTGTGACAGGGACTGTCCAGGTGGGACTGGGACTGCACAGGTGGGACAGGGACCTGCACAGGTGTGACAGGGACTGTCCAGGTGGGACTGGGACTGCACAGGTGGGACTGGACCTACACAGGTGGGACAGGGACCTGTCCAGGTGTGATTGTACCTGCACAGGTGTGACTGTACCTGCACAGGTGTGACTGGGACCTGTCCAGGTGTGATTGGACCTGCACAGGTGGGACAGGGACTGCACAGGTGTGTCTGTACCTGCCCAGGTGTGAAAGGGACCTGTCGAGGTGTGATTGGACCTGCACAGGTGTGACAGGGACTGTCCAGGTGTGATTGTACCTGCACAGGTGTGTCTGTACCTGCACAGGTGTGACTGGGACCTGTCCAGGTGTGAATGTACCTGCACAGGTGTGACAGGGACCTGCACAGGTGGGACTTGGACCTGCACAGGTGGGACTGGGACCTGTCCAGGTGTGACTGTGATTGTACCTGCCCAGGTGTGCCTGTACCTGTCCAGGTGTGCTCTAACCCCATCCCAGGTGTGTCTGTACCTGTCCAGGTGTGTCTGTACCTGTCCAGGTGTGCTCTAACCCCATCCAGGTGTGTCTGTACCTGCCCAGGTGTGCTCTCAGGTGTGTCTGTACCTGTCCAGGTGTGTCTGTACCTGTCCAGGTGTGCTCTAAACCCCTCCCAGGTGTCCCACACCTGTCCAGGTGTGCTCTAACCCCATCCCAGGTGTGCCTGTACCTGCCCAGGTGTGCTCTCAGGTGTGTCTGTACCTGCCCAGGTGTGCTCTAACCCCTCCCAGGTGTGTCTGTACCTGCCCAGGTGTGCTCTAAACCCCTCCCAGGTGTGCCTGTACCTGTCCAGGTGTGCTCTCAGGTGTGCCTGTACCTGTCCAGGTGTGCTCTAACCCCTCCCAGGTGTGCCTGTACCTGTCCAGGTGTGCTCTAAACCCCTCCCAGGTGTCCCACACCTGCCCAGGTGTTCTCTAAGCCCCTCCCAGGTGTGCCTGTACCTGCCCAGGTGTGCTCTGTACCTGTCCAGGTGTTCTCTAACCCCTCCCAGGTGTCCCACACCTGCCCGGGTGTGCTCTAACCCCATCCCAGGTGTGCCTGTACCTGTCCAGGTGTGCTCTAACCCCTCCCAGGTGTGCCTGTAGCTGTCCAGGTGTGCTCTCAGGTGTGTCTGTACCTGCCCAGGTGTGTCTGTACCTGCCCAGGTGTGCTCTCAGGTGCACCTGTACCTGTCCAGGTGTTCTCCAACCCCCTCCCAGGCATCCCCACCCCCCTCAGGTGCCCCCCGCCCCTGCCCTGACCTCACCTGTCCGTTCCAGACTCACCTGGCAGCGACGATGACGATGACGATGATGATGACGATGATGACGATGACGACGATGATGACGAAGCCGACGACGAGGAGGAGGAGGAGGAGGGGGAGGGGCAGGAGGGCGGGGCCGGGGCTCCAGGTGAGCCGGGCGGGGCCGGGGGCGTGGCCGCCCCGCCCGCACCTGCCCAGGTGAGCCCGGCGGCCGCGGCTCCCGAGGCGCCCGCAGGCCCCGCCCCCAAGAAGGAGATCAGCGACATCGCGGCGGCGGCGGAGAGCCTGCAGCCCAAAGGGTACACGCTGGCCACCACACAGGTGAGAAACACACCTGGATACACCTGGGGTACACCTGGGTACACCTGGGATACACCTGAGCACACCTGGGGACAGGTGAGACACCTGGGGACAGCTGGGCACACAGAGCCTGCAGCCCAAAGGGTACACGCTGGCCACCACACAGGTGAGAAACACACCTGGGATACACCTGGATACACCTGGGGACAGCTGGGGACACCTGGGCACACAGAGCCTGCAGCCCAAAGGGTACACGCTGGCCACCACACAGGTGAGGGACACACCTGGGGACAGGTGAGAGACACCTGGGGTACACCTGGGTACAGCTGGGCACACAGAGCCTGCAGCCCAAAGGGTACACGCTGGCCACCACACAGGTGAGAAACACACCTGGATACACCTGGGGACAGGTGGGGACAGCTGGGGACAGCTGGGTACACCTGGGGTACACCTGGGTACACAGAGCCTGCAGCCCAAGGGGTACACGCTGGCCACCACACAGGTGAGGGACACACCTGGGGACAGGTGAGACACACCTGGGGACAGCTGGGACTGACCTACCTGTGTCAGGGGTTCTGTACCTTACCTGTGCCTCACTTGAGACACACCTGTGCCTGCCTCACCTGTGCCAGGGGTTCTGTGCCTCACCTGTGCCTCACTTGAGACACACCTGGGAATGACTCATCTGTGACACACCTGGGGTGGTTCTGTGCCTCACCTGTGCCAGACCCACCGGAGACACACTCACCTGGGAGTGACTCACCTGTGCCAGGGGTTCTGTGCCTCACCTGTGACACACCTGGGGGGGGGTTCTGTGTCTCACCTGTGCCTGACTCACCTGTCCCTCACCTGTGCCTCACCTGTGCCTGACTCACCTGTGTCAGGGGTTCTGTGCCTCACCTGTGTCACACCTATGTCACGCCTGTCCCTCACCTGTGTCTGTCTCACCTGTGTCTGTCTCACCTGTGCGCAGGTGAAGACGCCGATCCCGCACCTGCTGCGGGGCACGCTGCGCGAGTACCAGCACATCGGGCTGGACTGGCTGGTGACCATGTACGAGAAAAAACTGAACGGGATCCTGGCCGACGAGATGGGGCTGGGAAAAACCATACAGACCATATCGCTGCTCGCTCACCTGGCCTGCGAGAAAGGTAACGCACCTGGGGGACACACCTGAGATACACCTGGGTACACCTGAGAGTCATGGGATACACCTGGGCACGGCTACAGTCACTGCACACACCTGGGATGGGGCTGGGCAAAACCATACAGACCATATCGCTCCTCGCTCACCTGGCCTGCGAGAAAGGTAACACACCTGAGATACACCTGGGCACACCTGAGATACACCTGAGAGCCATGGGGTACAGCTGGGTACGGTTACAGTCACTGCACACACCTGGGATGGGGCTGGGAAAAACCATACAGACCATTTCCCTGCTGGCTCACCTGGCCTGCGAGAAAGGTAACGCACCTGGGACACACCTGAGAGCCATGGGATACAGCTGGGATACACCTGGGTACGGCTGGGTACAGCTACAGTCACTGCACACACCTGGGATGGGGCTGGGAAAAACCATACAGACGATATCGCTGCTGGCTCACCTGGCCTGCGAGAAAGGTAACGCACCTGAGATACACACCTGAGAGTCATAACATACACCTGGGTACAGCTGGGTACGGCTACAGTCACTGCACACACCTGGGATGGGGCTGGGGAAAACCATACAGACCATATCGCTCCTCGCTCACCTGGCCTGCGAGAAAGGTAACACACCTGGGCACACCTGGGACTCATAACACACACCTGGGATACACCTGAGAGCCGTGGGATACACCTGGGTACGGCTACAGTCATAGCACACACCTGGGATGGGGCTGGGAAAAACCATACAGATGATATCGCTGCTGGCTCACCTGGCCTGCGAGAAAGCTAACACACCTGGGTACACCTGAGAGTCATAACATACACCTGGGTACAGCTGGGATACACCTGAGAGTCATGGGATACACCTGGGATGGGGCTGGGCAAAACCATACAGACGATATCACTGCTGGCTCACCTGGCCTGCGAGAAAGGTAACACACCTGAGATACACCTGAGAGCCATGGGATACAGCTGGGATACACCTGGGTACGGCTATAGTCACTGCACACACCTGGGATGGGGCTGGGCAAAACCATACAGACCATATCGCTGCTGGCACACCTGGCCTGCGAGAAAGGTAACACACCTGGGACACACCTGGGCACACCTGAGAGCCGTGGGATACACCTGGGTACGGCTACAGTCACTGCACACACCTGGGATACACCTGGGATGGGGCTGGGCAAAACCATACAGACGATATCGCTGCTGGCTCACCTGGCCTGCGAGAAAGGTAACGCACCTGGGACACACCTGGGTACACCTGGGATACACCTGAGAGCCATAACGCACACCTGGGTATGGCTGGGTATGGCTGGGCACACCTGGGTATGGCTGAGCGTCATGGGATACACCTGGGATGGGGCTGGGGAAAACCATACAGACGATCTCGCTCCTCGCGCACCTGGCCTGCGAGAAAGGTAACGCACCTGGGATACACCTGAGAGCCATAACACACACCTGGGATACACCTGGGTATGGCTGGGTATGGCTGAGCGTCATGGGATACACCTGGGATGGGGCTGGGCAAGACCATACAGACGATCTCGCTCCTGGCACACCTGGCCTGCGAGAAAGGTAACGCACCTGGGATACACACCTGAGAGCCATGGGATACACCTGGGTGCGGCTGGGATACACCTGAGATACACCTGGGTACAGCTACAGTCACTGCACACACCTGGGTACACCTGGGGATACACCTGAGAGCCATAACATGCACCTGGGTACACCTGGGTACACCTGGCATGCACCTGGGTACAGCTGGGCACGCCTGAGACTCATAGCATACACCTGGGCAGGTTTGGGGGTTCCCAGGACTCACCTGAGCCCCTTTAGGGGGTTCTGAGTCACACCTGGGCAGGTTTAGGACTCACCTGACCCTCGTTTCGGGTGTCTCACCTGTCCCTCACCTGTGCGCAGGTAGCTGGGGCCTCACCTGGGGCTCATTTCGGGTGTCTCACCTGTCTCTCACCTGTGCACAGGTGGCTGGGGCCTCACCTGTCCCTCACCTGTCCCTCACCTGTGCGCAGGTACCTGGGGCCCTCACCTGAACCCTTTTAGGGGGCTTTGAGTCACACCTGGGCAGGTTTGGGGGTTCCCAGGCCTCACCTGAGCCTCATTCTGGGTGTCTCACCTGTGCGCAGGTAGCTGGGGTTTCACCTGAGGGTGATTTCGGGTGTCTCACTTGTGCACAGGTACCTGGGGCCCTCACCTGAGCCCCTTTAGGAGGTTCTAAGTCACACCTGGGCAGGTTTGGGGGTTCCTTGAGCCCTTTTCTGGGTGTCTCACCTGTCCCTCACCTGTGCGCAGGTACCCGGGGCCCTCACCTGAGGCTCATTTCGGGTGTCTCACGTGTCCCTCACGTGTCCCTCACCTGTGCGCAGGTAGCTGGGGCCCTCACCTGATCATCGTGCCCACCTCGGTGATGCTCAACTGGGAGATGGAGCTCAAGCGCTGGTGCCCCAGCTTCAAAATCCTCACCTACTACGGGGCGCAGAAAGAGCGGCGCCTCAAGAGACAGGTGGGCACACCTGGGCACACCTGGGCACACCTGGGCACACCTGGGCACAGCTGGGAGGGGATGGGCCAAAAAAACCCCGCGAAAATTGGGTGGAAAATGGGGATTTTGGGGTGGAAAATGGGGATTTTGGGGTGAAAAACGGGGATTTTGGGGTTACCTGGGCACACCTGGGAATGGAAATAGGGGGGAAATGGCGAAAATTTGGGGGGAAAATGGTGAAAATTGGGGGTTTGGGGTTACCTGGGCACAGCTGGGAGGGGATGGATAGAAAAAACCCCGCGAAAATTGGGGTGGAAAATTGGGATTTTGGGGTTACCTGGGCGCACCTGGGTGCACCTGGGGGGGTTTTGGGGTTACCTGGGTGCACCTGGGAATGGAAAAAGGGGGAAAATGGTGAAAATTTGGGGGGAAAATGGTGAAAATTGGGGGTTTTAGGCACACCTGGGCACACCTGGGCACACCTGGGCAGGGATGGATAAAAAAACCCCGTGAAAATGGGGTGGAAAATGGGGATTTTGGGGTGAAAAATGGGGATTTTGGGGTTACCTGGGCACACCTGGGACAGGTAAAACACAAAAAATTGGGGTTAAAAGCACCAAAATTGGGATTATGGGCACTGAAACCGCACCTGTGGGAGAAAAATGGGGAGAAAATCGGTGAAAATTGGGGAGTTTGGGGTTACCTGGGCGCACCTGGGCACACCTGGGGGCACCTGGGGGCACCTGGGAGGGGATGGGCCAAAAAAACCCCGTGAAAATTGGGTGGAAATTGGGGATTTTGGGGTTACCTGGGCACACCTGGGCGCACCTGGGGGCACCTGGGAGGGGGTGAGGCAAAAAAACCCCGTGAAAATTGGGTGAAAAATGGGGATTTTGGGGTTACCTGGGCACAGCTGGGAATGGAAAAAGGGGGAAAATGGCGAAAATTTTGGGGGAAAATGGGTGAAAATTGGGGGTTTTAGGGCACACCTGGGCACACCTGGGCACACCTGGGCACACCTGGGCTGTGTTTTTGAGCTTTTTTTAAGGTTTTTTAAGGGTTTTTTGAGCTTTTTTTGAGGTTTTTTGGAGTTTTTTCATGGGGATTTTTTCTTTACCTGTCCCACCTGTCCAGGGCTGGACCAAGCCCAACGCTGGTGCTGCACACCTGGAGCACACCTGGGCTGTGTTTTTGCTGCACACCTGGAGCACACCTGGGCTGTGTTTTTGAGGTTTTTTGAGCTTTTTTTGAGCCGTTTTTGAGCCGTTTTTGCGGGGATTTTGGGCTCACCTGCCTCACCTGTCCCACCTGTCCAGGGCTGGACCAAGCCCGACACTGGTGCTGCACACCTGGGCACACCTGGGCACACCTGGGCACACCTGGGCACACCTGGGCTGTGTATTTCACCTTTTTTTGAGCTTTTTTTTGAGTTTTTTAATGGGTATTTTTCCTTTACCTGTCTCACCTGTCCCACCTGCGCAGGGCTGGACCAAGCCCAACGCCTTCCACGTGTGCATCACCTCGTACAAGCTGGTGCTGCACACCTGGGCACACCTGGGCTGTGTTTTTGAGGTTTTTTGAGCTTTTTTTGAGCTTTTTTTGAGCTTTTTTTGAATTTTTTCGCGGGGATTTTGGGCTCACCTGCCTCACCTGTCCCACCTGTCCCACCTGCGCAGGGCTGGACCAAGCCCAACGCCTTCCACGTGTGCATCACCTCGTACAAGCTGGTGCTGCAGGACCACCAGGCGTTCCGCAGGAAGAACTGGAAATACCTGATCCTGGACGAGGCGCAGAACATCAAAAACTTCAAATCCCAGCGCTGGCAGTCCCTGCTCAACTTCAACAGGTGAGACACAGGACAGGTGAGGCACAGGTGAGACCCGGGAACATCAAAAACTTCAAATCCCAGCGCTGGCAGTCCCTGCTCAACTTCAACAGGTGAGCAACACCTGGCACAGGTGAGCCCCCAGGGACATCAAAAACTTCAAATCCCAGCGCTGGCAGTCCCTGCTCAACTTCAACAGGTGAGAGCAACACACCTGGGCACAGGTGAGGGACAGGTGAGCCCCAGGGACATCAAAAACTTCAAATCCCAGCGCTGGCAGTCCCTGCTCAACTTCAACAGGTGAGCAACACCTGGGCACAGGTGAGACACAGGTGAGACCCAGGGACATCAAAAACTTCAAATCCCAGCGCTGGCAGTCCCTGCTCAACTTCAACAGGTGAGACACAAACACACCTGGGCACAGGTGAGGGACAGGTGAGAGTCAGGGACATCAAAAACTTCAAATCCCAGCGCTGGCAGTCCCTGCTCAACTTCCACAGGTGAGGAGAGCACACCTGGGCACAGGTGAGGGACAGGTGAGAGTCAGGGACATCAAAAACTTCAAATCCCAGCGCTGGCAGTCCCTGCTCAACTTCAACAGGTGAGGAATGAGCACACCTGGGCACAGGTGAGACAGGGACAGGTGAGAGGGTCAGGTGAGGGACGGGGGACAGGGGAGAGACAGGTGAGCAGACAGGGACAGGTGAGACACAAGCGCTGGCAGTCCCTGCTCAACCTCAACAGGTGAGAGCGGCGCACCTGGGCACAGGTGAGACATGAGGGGGACAGGTGAGACACAGGGGAGACACAGGGACAGGTGAGAGACAGGTGAGCACACACACCTGGCACACAGGGGAGACACAGGGACAGGTGAGGGTGCACACACCTGGGCACAGGTGAGAGACAGAGACAGGTGAGACACAGGGACAGGTGAGACACAGGGGGGACACAGGTGAGAGACAGGGACAGGTGAGACACAGGGGGGACACAGGTGAGAGACAGGGACAGGTGAGACACAAGCGCTGGCAGTCCCTGCTCAACTTCAACAGGTGAGGAATGAGCACACCTGGGCACAGGTGAGACACAGGGACACACAGGGGAACGATAGGGACAGGTGAGCAACACCTGGGCACAGGGGAGACACAGGTGAGACACAGGGGAAACACAGGGACAGGTGAGCGCACACCTGGGCGCAGGTGGGGCACGGGGACAGGTGAGACCCAGGCGCTGGCAGTCCCTGCTCAACGTCAACAGGTGAGGAGTGCACACACCTGGGCACAGGTGAGAGACAGGGACAGGTGAGCAACACACACCTGGGCACAGGTGAGACATGGGGGAGACAGGTAAGGACAGGGACAGACAGAGCCGCGCACCTGGGCACAGGTGAGACACGGGGACAGGTGAGCGGCGCACCTGGCACACAGGTGAGACACGGGGATAGGTGAGTGGCGCACCTGGTGCACAGGTGAGAGACAGGGACAGACAGAGACGCGCACCTGGGCACAGGTGAGACACAGGGACAGGTGAGCGCGCACCTGGCACACAGGTGAGACACAGGTGAGCAGCGCACCTGGCACACAGGTGAGACACGGGGACAGGTGAGCGCGCACCTGGCACACAGGTGAGACACAGGTGAGCAGCGCACCTGGCACACAGGTGAGGACAGGGACAGGTGAGTGGGCACAGGTGAGACAGGTGAGGAGAGGGACAGACAGAGCCGCGCACCTGGGACACACCTGGGCCTGCTCCTACCTGTGCTCACCTGTTCATACCTGTTCATACCTGTGCTCACCTGGCTTTAGCTATTCCTGGTTGTCTTTACCTGTCTGTACTTGTCCTTACCTGTCCCTATGTGCCCTTACCTGTGTGTACCTGTCTCACCTGGGTCTCACCTGGGTCTCACCTGTCCACACCTGCAGGTTGATCACAGTGCAGGAGAACACCTGGAGCTCACCTGGGGCTGTTCCCCTGCTGTTACCTGTGTGTACCTGTCTCACCTGGGTCTCACCTGTCCGTACCTGCAGGCTGATCATGGTGCAGAACACCTGGAGCTCACCTGGGGCTGTTCCCCTGGTGTTACCTGTCTGTACCTGTCTCACCTGTGTCTCACCTGTGTCTCACCTGTGTCTCACCTGTTCTTACCTGTCCGTGTGTGTCTCACCTGTCCATACCTGCAGAGTTGATCACGGTGCAGGAGAACACCTGGAGCTCACCTGTGTCTTACCTGTCCATACCTGTCCATACCTGTCCGTGTGCGTCTCACCTGTCCATACCTGCAGAGTTGATCACGGTGCAGGAGAACACCTGGAGCTCACCTGGGGCTGTTCCTCTCTGTTACCTGTCTGTACCTCTGTGTATGTGTGTCCATACCTGTCTCTCACCTGTCTCTCACCTGTCCATACTTGTCCATACCTGTCTCTCACCTGTGCCCATACCTGTCTGTGTGTCTCTCACCTGTCCATACCTGTGTCTCCCCCCACAGCCAGGGCCGGCTGTTGCTGACGGGGACCCCGCTGCAGAACTCGCTGATGGAGCTCTGGTCGCTCACCTGTGCCCATACCTGTCCATACCTGTCCATACCTGTGCCCTCACTTGTCCATACCTGTCCCTTACCTGTCCATACCTGTCCCTTACCTGCCCATACCTGTCTCTCACCTGTCCATACCTGTCTCTCACCTGTCCATACCTGTCCCTCACCTGTCTCTCACCTGTCTCTCACCTGCAGCCAGCGCCGGCTGTTGCTGACGGGGACGCCGCTGCAGAACTCGCTGATGGAGCTCTGGTCGCTCACCTGTCCCTTACCTGTCCATACCTGTCTCTCACCTGTCCATACCTGTCTCTCACCTGTCCATACCTGTCTCTCACCTGCAGCCAGCGCCGGCTGTTGCTCACAGGGACGCTGCTGCAGAACTCGCTGATGGAGCTCTGGTCCCTCACCTGTGTCCATACCTGTCTGTGTGTGTCTCACCTGTCCCTTACCTGTCCATACCTGTCTCTCACCTGTCCATACCTGTCTCTCACCTGTGCCCATACCTGTCTCTCACCTGTCCATACCTGTCCCTTACCTGTCCATACCTGTCCCTTACCTGTCCATACCTGTCTCTCCCCTCACAGCCAGCGCCGGCTGTTGCTCACGGGGACGCCGCTGCAGAACTCGCTGATGGAGCTCTGGTCGCTCACCTGTGCCCATACCTGTCCCTCACCTGTCCATACCTGTCTCTCACCTGTCCCTTACCTGTCCATACCTGTCCCTTACCTGTCCATACCTGTCTCTCCCCTCACAGCCAGCGCCGGCTGTTGCTGACGGGGACGCCGCTGCAGAACTCGCTGATGGAGCTCTGGTCCCTCACCTGTGCCCATACCTGTCCCTTACCTGTCTCTCACCTGTCCATACCTGTGTCTCCCCTCACAGCCAGCGCCGGCTGTTGCTGACGGGCACGCCGCTGCAGAACTCGCTGATGGAGCTCTGGTCGCTCACCTGTGCCCATACCTGTCTCTCACCTGTGCCCATACCTGTCTCTCACCTGTGTCCATACCTGTCTCTCACCTGTCCATACCTGTGTCTCACCTGCAGCCAGCGCCGGCTGTTGCTGACGGGCACGCCGCTGCAGAACTCGCTGATGGAGCTCTGGTCGCTCACCTGTGCCCATACCTGTGCCCATACCTGTCCCTTACCTGTCCCTTACCTGTCCATACCTGTGTCTCACCTGTCCCTTACCTGTCTCTCACCTGTCCATACCTGTCTCTCACCTGTCCCTTACCTGTCTCTCACCTGTCCATACCTGTCTCTCACCTGCAGCCAGCGCCGGCTGTTGCTGACGGGGACGCCGCTGCAGAACTCGCTGATGGAGCTCTGGTCCCTCACCTGTCCCTCACCTGTCCATACCTGTGTCTCACCTGCAGCCAGCGCCGGCTGTTGCTCACAGGGACGCCGCTGCAGAACTCGCTGATGGAGCTCTGGTCGCTCACCTGTCCCTTACCTGTCCATACCTGTCTCCCCTCACAGCCAGCGCCGGCTGTTGCTGACGGGCACGCCGCTGCAGAACTCGCTGATGGAGCTCTGGTCGCTCACCTGTCCCTTACCTGTCCTTACCTGTCTCTCTCACCTGCAGCCAGCGCCGGCTGTTGCTGACGGGCACGCCGCTGCAGAACTCGCTGATGGAGCTCTGGTCGCTCACCTGTCCCTTACCTGTCTCTCACCTGTCTCTCACCTGTCTCTCACCTGCAGCCAGCACCGGCTGTTGCTGACGGGCACGCCGCTGCAGAACTCGCTGATGGAGCTCTGGTCGCTCACCTGTCCCTCACCTGTCCATACCTGTCCCTTACCTGTCCATACCTGTCTCTCACCTGCAGCCAGCGCCGGCTGTTGCTGACGGGCACGCCGCTGCAGAACTCGCTGATGGAGCTCTGGTCCCTCATGCATTTCCTCATGCCCAGCGTGTTCCAGTCCCACCGCGAGTTCCGAGAGTGGTTCCACAACCCCCTGACGGGCATGATCGAGGGCAGCCAGGAGTACAACGAGAGCCTCGTGAAACGCCTGCATAAGGTACACCTGGGGACAGGTGTGATACACCTGGGTATGGGTACACACACCTGGGGATGGCTGTGATACACCTGGGTATGGGTATGTACACATGGGATACACCTGGGTTACACTGGGCAGGATCGAGGGCAGCCAGGAGTACAACGAGAGCCTGGTGAAACGACTGCACAAGGTAACACACCTGGGCACACCTGGGGACAGGTACACACACCTGGGCACACCTGGGACACACCTGGGTATGGGTACAAACACCTGGGTTACACTGGGTCACACCTGATGGGCATGATCGAGGGCAGCCAGGAGTACAACGAGAGCCTCCTGAAAAGACTCCATAAGGTACACCTGGGGACAGGTACACACACCTGGGCACACCTGGGCACACCTGGGCACACCTGGGTATGGGTACAAACACCTGGGATACACCTGGGATACACCTGGGATACACCGGGCATGATCGAGGGCAGCCAGGAGTACAACGAGAGCCTCGTGAAAAGATTGCATAAGGTACACCTGGGCACACCTGGGCACACCTGGGGATGGGTACACACACCTGGGGATGGGTACACACACCTGGGGATGGGTACAAACACATGGGATACACCTGGGTTACACTGGGCATGATTGAGGGCAGCCAGGAGTACAACGAGAGCCTGGTGAAAAGATTGCACAAGGTAACGCACCTGGGCACACCTGGGGACAGGTGTGATACACCTGGGCACACCTGGGACACACCTGGGTATGGGTACAAACACCTGGGTTACACTGGGTCACACCTGACGGGCACGATCGAGGGCAGCCAGGAGTACAACGAGAGCCTGGTGAAAAGATTGCACAAGGTAACGCACCTGGGCACACCTGGGCACACCTGGGCACACCTGGGTATGGGTACACACACCTGGGTATGGGTATATACACATGGGTTACACCTGGGTGCCACAACCCCCTGACGGGCACGATCGAGGGCAGCCAGGAGTACAACCAGAGCCTGGTGAAAAGATTGCATAAGGTAACGCACCTGGGCACACCTGGGGACAGGTGTGATACACCTGGGGACACCTGGGTATGGGTGTGATACACCTGGGTATGGGTACACACACCTGGGATACACTGCATTACACTGGGTCACACCTGACGGGCACGATCGAGGGCAGCCAGGAGTACAACGAGAGCCTGGTCAAGAGACTGCACAAGGTAACGCACCTGGGCACACCTGGGCACACCTGGGGACACCTGGGTATGGGTACATACACCTGGGATACACCTGGGATACACCTGGGATACACCTGGGATACACCTGGGTTCCACAACCCCCTGACGGGCATGATCGAGGGCGGCCAGGAGTACAACGAGAGCCTCGTGAAACGGCTGCACAAGGTACACCTGGGGACAGGTGTGATACACCTGAACACACCTGGGTATGGGTACATACACCTGGGATACACCTGGGTTACACCTGGGATACACCTGGGTTCCACAACCCCCTGACGGGCACGATCGAGGGCAGCCAGGAGTACAACGAGAGCCTGGTGAAACGGCTGCACAAGGTAACGCACCTGGGCACACCTGGGGACAGGTACACACACCTGGGTATGGGTACACACACCTGGGATACACCTGGGATACACCTGGGTGCCACAACCCCCTGACGGGCATGATCGAGGGCAGCCAGGAGTACAACGAGAGCCTGGTCAAGAGACTGCACAAGGTAACGCACCTGGGCACACCTGGGTACACCTGGGCACACCTGGGTATGGGTACATACACCTGGGACACACCTGGGTTACACTGGGCATGATCGAGGGCAGCCAGGAGTACAACGAGAGCCTGGTGAAAAGACTCCATAAGGTAACGCACCTGGGCACACCTGGGGACAGGTGTGATACACCTGGGTATGGGTACACACACCTGGGATACACCTGGGTTACACCTGGGTTCCACAACCCCCTGACGGGCACGATCGAGGGCAGCCAGGAGTACAACAAGAGCCTGGTGAAACGGCTGCACAAGGTACACCTGGGGACAGGTACACACACCTGGGTATGGGTATATGTACATGGGTATGGGTACACACACCTGGGTTACACTGGGTCACACCTGACGGGCATGATCGAGGGCAGCCAGGAGTACAACGAGAGCCTCGTGAAAAGATTGCACAAGGTAACCGCACCTGGGCACACCTGGGCACACCTGGGCACACCTGGGGACACCTGGGTACACCTGGGTACACCTGGGTATGGGTATATGTACATGGGATACACCTGGGTTCCACAACCCCCTGACGGGCATGATCGAGGGCAGCCAGGAGTACAACGAGAGCCTCGTGAAACGGCTCCACAAGGTACACCTGGGGACACCTGGGGACAGGTGTGATACACCTGGGTATGGGTACATACACCTGGGTATGGGTATGTACACATGGGATACACCTGGGATACACTGGCACGATTGAGGGCAGCCAGGAGTACAACGAGAGCCTGGTGAAAAGGCTGCACAAGGTAACGCACCTGGGCACACCTGGGGACAGGTGTGATACACCTGGGTATGGGTACAAACACACGGGATACACCTGGGATACACCTGGGTTCCACAACCCCCTGACGGGCACGATCGAGGGCAGCCAGGAGTACAACGAGAGCCTCGTGAAACGGCTGCACAAGGTACACCTGGGGACAGGTGTGATACACCTGAACACACCTGGGTATGGGTACGTACACCTGGGATACACTGCATTACACTGGGATACACTGGGTCACACCTGACGGGCGTGATCGAGGGCAGCCAGGAGTACAACGAGAGCCTGGTGAAACGGCTGCACAAGGTAACGCACCTGGGGACACCTGGGGACAGGTACACACACCTGGGCACACCTGGGTACACCTGGGATACACCTGGGGCTCACACAAACACACCTGAGACACACCTGGGCACACCTGGGGTATGGCGGGACACACCTGGGGACACCTGAGACACACCTGGGCACACCTGGAACCCATTGGGCCACACCTGGACGACACCTGGACACATTTTGGTCCACTTGTGCACACCTGGGGCACACCTGGGGCACACCTGGGGCTCACCTGGGTACACCTGGGACACACCTGAGCACATGGGAGCCCACCTGGGACACACCTGGGGCTCAGACAGACACACCTGGGCACACTTGAGATACACCTGGGGCACACCTGGGGTCACACAAACACAACCTGGGCACACCTGGGCACACCTGAACACATGGGGACACACCTGGGGCATACCTGGGAGGGGTTTGAACACACCTGGGACACACCTGAGGGGTTCTGGACACACCTGGGACACACCTGGGAGGGGTTAAACACACCTGGGACACATCTGGGCACACCTGGGGGCACACCCCAGCACCTGTTGGGACACACCTGGGACACACCTGACCAGGTGTGTGCCCCTCCCCCCCCCAATGCCTCACCTGACCAGGTGTGTGCCCCTCCCCCCCCCCATACCTGACCAGGTGTGTGCCCCTCCCCCTCTCATACCTCACCTGACCAGGTGTGTGCCCCTCCCCCCCCCATGTCTCACCTGACCAGGTGTGTGCCCCTCCCCCCCCCATTCCTCACCTGACCAGGTGTGTGCCCCTCCCCCCCCCCCAATGTCTCACCTGACCAGGTGTGTGCCCCTCCCCCCTGTGCCTCACCTGACCAGGTGTGTGCCCCTCCCCCCCCATAGCTCACCTGACCAGGTGTGTGCCCCTCCCCCCCAATGCCTCACCTGACCAGGTGTGTGCCCCTCCCCCCCCATCCCTCACCTGACCAGGTGTGTGCCCCTCCCCCACCCAATGTCTCACCTGACCAGGTGTGTGCCCCTCCCCCCCCATACCTGACCAGGTGTGTGCCCCTCCCCCCATCCCTCACCTGACCAGGTGTGTGCCCCTCCCCCCCCCATCCCTCACCTGACCAGGTGTGTGCCCCTCCCCCCTCCATTTCTCACCTGACCAGGTGTGTGCCCCTCCCCCCTCATCCCTCACCTGACCAGGTGTGTGCCCCTCCCCCCCCATACCTGACCAGGTGTTTGCCCCTCCCCCCCCCCCCATACCTCACCTGACCAGGTGTGTGCCCCCCCCCCCCCCCATGCCTCACCTGACCAGGTGTGTGCCCCTCCCCCAATGTCTCACCTGACCAGGTGTGTGCCCCTCCCCCCCGTACCTCACCTGACCAGGTGTGTGCCCCTCCCCCCATACCTCACCTGACCAGGTGTGTGCCCCTCCCCCCCCAATGTCTCACCTGACCAGGTGTGTGCCCCTCCCCCCCCATCCCTCACCTGACCAGGTGTGTGCCCCTCCCCCCCCCATACCTGACCAGGTGTGTGCCCCTCCCCCCCCCAATGTCTCACCTGACCAGGTGTGTGCCCCTCCCCCCATACCTCACCTGACCAGGTGTGTGCCCCTCCCCCCCCCCCGTGTCTCACCTGACCAGGTGTGTGCCCCTCCCCTCCCCCAATGCCTCACCTGACCAGGTGTGTGCCCCTCCCCCAATGTCTCACCTGACCAGGTGTGTGCCCCTCCCCCCCCCCTCATATCTCACCTGACCAGGTGTGTGCCCCCCCCCCAATGTCTCACCTGACCAGGTGTGTGCCCCTCCCCCCTCCATCCCTCACCTGACCAGGTGTGTGCCCCTCCCCCCCCAATGTCTCACCTGACCAGGTGTGTGCCCCTCCCCCCCCATTCCTCATCTGACCAGGTGTGTGCCCCTCCCCCCTCCCCCAATGTCTCACCTGACCAGGTGTGTGCCCCTCCCCCTCCATTCCTCACCTGACCAGGTGTGTGCCCCTCCCCCCCTCATACCTGACCAGGTGTGTGCCCCACCCCCCCCATCCCTCACCTGACCAGGTGTGTGCCCCTCCCCCCCCTCATACCTGACCAGGTGTGTGCCCCACCCCCCCATCCCTCACCTGACCAGGTGTGTGCCCCTCCCCCCCTCATACCTGACCAGGTGTGTGCCCCTCCCCCTCCATCCCTCACCTGACCAGGTGTGTGCCCCTCCCCCCCCGTGTCTCACCTGACCAGGTGTGTGCCCCTCCCCCCCTCGTACCTGACCAGGTGTGTCCGCCCCTCCCCCCCCGCAGGTGCTCCGCCCGTTCCTGCTGCGGCGCCTCAAGGTGGACGTGGAGAAGCAAATGCCCAAGAAGTACGAGCACGTGCTCAGGTGCCGCCTGTCCAAGCGCCAGAGGTTCCTCTACGACGACTTCATGGGCCAGGCCAGGTGAGGGCCGCACACCTGGGCACACCTGGGCACACCTGGGGGCAAAAAAATCCCTGAAATTCCCGTTCAATTCTACCCAAATTCCATGAAATTCCATCCAAAATGCACCCAAAATTCACCTTTTTGAGGTGTCTGATGACATCATGGGCCAGGCCAGGTGAGGGCCGCACACCTGGGCACACCTGGGCACACCTGGGCACACCTGGGGGCGAAAAAATCCCCAAAATTCCTGTTCAATTCTACCCAAATTCCGTGAAATTGTGCCCAAATTCCACCAAAAATCCACCCAAAATGCACCCAAAATTCACCTTTTTGGAGTGTGTGATGATGTCATGGGCCAGGGCAGGTGAGGGCGCCACACCTGGGCACACCTGGGGGCAAAAAAAGTCCCTAAATTCCCATTCAATTCTACCCAAAATTGATCAAATTGTGCCCAAAATGTGCCCAAATTGCACCCAAAATTCTCCTTTTTGGGGCCTCATGGGCCAGGCCAGGTGAGGGGAACACACCTGGGGGCAAAAAATCCCCGAAATTCCCATTCAATTCTACCCAAATTCCATCAAATTCCATCCAAAATGCCTCCAAAATTCTCCTTTTTGAGGTTTCATGGGCCAGGCCAGGTGAGGGGAACACACCTGGGCACACCTGGGGGCCAAAAAAAGTCCCAAAATTCCCATTCAATTCTACCCAAAATTGATCAAATTGTGCCCAAAATGTGCCCAAATTGCACCCAAAATTCACCTTTTTGGGGCCTCATGGGCCAGGCCAGGTGAGGGGGGCACACCTGGGGGCAAAAAAATCCCGAAATTCCCGTTCAATTCTACCCAAATTCCATCAAATTCCATCCAAAATGCACCCAAAATTCTCCTTTTTGGGGTCTTTGATGACGTCATGGGCCAGGCCAGGTGAGGGCGCCACACCTGGGAACACCTGGGCGCAAAAAAATCCCCAAAATTCCCGTTCAATTGTGCCCAAATTGCACCCAAAATCCACCCAAAATGCACCCAAAATTCACCTTTTTGAGTCATGGGCCAGGGCAGGTGAGGGCGCCACACCTGGGCACACCTGGGGGCAAAATAATTCCCAAAATTCCCGTTCAATTGTGCCCAAGTTCCGTGAAATTGTGCTCAAATTGCACCCAAAATGCACCCAAATCCACCCAAAATTCACCTTTTTGGGGTGTCTGATGATGTCATGGGCCAGGCCAGGTGAGGGGGGCACACCTGGGCACACCTGGGCACACCTGGGCACAAAAAATCCCCAAAATTCCCAATAAATTCTACCCAGATTTGTTCAAAAATGCTCCCAAAATTCACCTTTTTGGGGTCTCTGATGACGTCATGGGCCAGGGCAGGTGAGGGGAGCACACCTGGGCACACCTGGGCACACCTGGGCGGAAAAAAAATCCCCGAACTCCTGTTCAATTCTATCCAAATTCCGTGAAATTGTGCCCAAATTGCACCCCAAATGCACCCAAATTGCACCCAAAATTCACCTTTTTGAGTCATGGGCCAGGCCAGGTGAGGGGGGCACACCTGGACACACCTGGGGGCAAAAAAATCCCCGAAATTCCCGTTCAATTGTGCCCAAAATGCACCCAAAATGCCCCCAAAATTCACCTTTTTGAGTCATGGGCCAGGGCAGGTGAGGGGGCCACACCTGGGCACACCTGGGGGCAAAAAAAATCCCCAAAATTCCCGTTCAATTCTACCCAAATTTGATTAAATTGTGATCAAATTGTGCCCAAATTGCACCCAAAATTCACCTTTTGGGGGTCTCTGATGCCATCATGGCTTAGGCCAGGTGAGGGCGCCACACCTGGGCACACCTGGGCACAAAAAATCCCCAAAATTCCCGCTCAATTGTGCCCAAATGCACCCAAATGCACCCAAAATTCACCTTTTTGGGGCCTCATGGGCCAGGGCAGGTGAGGGGGACACACCTGGGCACACCTGGGCACACCTGGGGGCCAAAAAATCCCCGAAATTCCCAATAAATTCTACCCAGATTTGATCAAAAATGCTCCCAAAATTCACCTTTTTGGGGTCTCTGATGACGTCATGGGCCAGGGCAGGTGAGGGGGAGCACACCTGGGCACACCTGGGGGCAAAAAAATCCCCAAAATTCCCGTTCAATTCTACCCAAATTGCACCCAAATCCACCCAAATTGCACCCAAAATTCTCCTTTTTGAGTCATGGGCCAGGGCAGGTGAGGGGAACACACCTGGGCACACCTGGGGGCAAAATAATTCCCGAAATTCCCGTTCAATTCTACCCAAATTTGATTAAATTGTGATCAAATTGTGCCCAAATTGCACCCAAAATTCACCTTTTGGGGGTCTCTGATGCCATCATGGCTTAGGCCAGGTGAGGGCGCCACACCTGGGCACACCTGGGCACAAAAAATCCCCAAAATTCCCGCTCAATTGTGCCCAAAAATGCACCCAAATGCACCCAAAATTCACCTTTTTGGGGCCTCATGGGCCAGGGCAGGTGAGGGGGACACACCTGGGCACACCTGGGCACACCTGGGCGCAAAAAAATTCCCAAAATTCCCATTCAATTCTACCCAAAATTGATCAAATTGTGCCCAAAACGTGCCCAAAATGCACCCAAAATTCACCTTTTTGGGGCCTCATGGGCCAGGCCAGGTGAGGGGGGCACACCTGGGCACACCTGGGGGCAAAAAAATCCCGAAATTCCCGTTCAATTCTACCCAAATTCCATCAAATTCCATCCAAAATGCCCCAAAATTCACCTTTTTGAGGTTTCATGGGCCAGGCCAGGTGAGTGTGGCCCACCTGGGCACACCTGGGGGCCAAAAAATCCCCAAAATTCCCGTTCAATTGTGCCCAAATTGCACCCAAAATGCACCCAAAATTCACCTTTTTGGGGCCTCATGGGCCAGGGCAGGTGAGGGGGACACACCTGGGCACACCTGGGGGCAAAAAAATCCCGAAATTCCCAATAAATTCTACCCAGATTTGATCAAAAATGCTCCCAAAATTCACCTTTTTGGGGTCTCTGATGACGTCATGGGCCAGGCCAGGTGAGGGGAGCACACCTGGGCACACCTGGGGGCAAAAAAAGTCCTAAAATTCCCATTAAATTCTATCCAAATTCCATGAAATTGTGCCCAAATTGCACCCAAAATCCACCCAAAATTCACCTTTTTGAGTCATGGGCCAGGGCAGGTGAGGGGGGGCACACCTGGGCACACCTGGGCACACCTGGGCACACCTGGGGGCGAAAAAATCCCCGAAATTCCCGTTCAATTCTGCCCAAATTTGATCAAATTGTGCCCAAAATGCACCTAAAATGCACCCAAAATTCACCTTTTTGAGTCATGGGCCAGGCCAGGTGAGTGTGGCACACCTGGGGGCAAAAAAAGTCCCAAAATTCCCATTCAATTCTACCCAAAATTGATCAAATTGTGCCCAAAATGTGCCCAAATTGCACCCAAAATTCACCTTTTTGAGGTGTCTGATGATGTCATGGGCCAGGGCAGGTGAGGGGAGCACACCTGGGCACACCTGGGGGCAAAAAAATCCCCAAAATTCCCGAAAATTTCTATCCAAATTCCATCAAATTGTGCCCAAATTGCACCCAAAATTCACCTTTTTGGGGGTGTCTGATGCCATCATGGGTTAGGCCAGGTGAGGGCGCCACACCTGGGTACACCTGGGGGCAAAAAAATCCCCGAAATTCCCATTCAATTGTGCCCAAATTGCACCCAAAATGCCCCCAAAATTCACCTTTTTGAGTCATGGGCCAGGCCAGGTGAGGGGAACACACCTGGGCACACCTGGGCACACCTGGGGGCAAAAAATCCCCGAAATTCCCGTTCAATTGTGCCCAAAATGCACCCAAATCCACCCAAAATGCACCCAAAATGCCCCAAAATTCTCCTTTTTGAGGTGTCTGATGATGTCATGGGCCAGGGCAGGTGAGGGGAGCACACCTGGGCACACCTGGGAGCAAAAAAAATCCCAAAATTTCCCGTTCAATTGTACCCAAATTCCGTGAAATTCCACCCAAAATTCACCTTTTTGAGGTGTCTGATGACGTCATGGGCCAGGCCAGGTGAGGGCACCACACCTGGGCACACCTGGGGGCCAAAAAAATCCCCGAAATTCCCGTTCAATTCTACCCAAATTTGATCAAATTGTGCCCAGGTGCTCTCAGGTGAATTTCCCACCCCAATTTCCCCTTTAAACCCCTCCCAAATTTTTCAAGTAATTCCTGGGTGACCCCAGGTGCTCTCAGGTGATTCCCAGGTGAGCTCAGGTGTCTTCTCTGTGCTGTTTTTAGCACCTGGACCCTCGAAATCCCCAAATTTCCCCTTTAAACCCCTCCCAAATCCCTCCCAAATTTCTCAGGTAATTCCCAGGTGCCCCCAGGTGCTCTCAGGTGAGTTCCAGGTGCCCCCAGGTGAATTTCCCACCTCAATTTCAGCACCTGAGCCCCCAAATTTCCCCTTTAAATCCCTCCCAAATCCCTCCCAAATTGCCCCAAATTTCTCAGGTGCCGCCAGGTGCTCTCAGGTGCCCCCAGGTGAATTTCCCACCCCAATTTCACCACCTGAGCCCCCAAATTTCCATTTCAAACCCTTCCCAAATTTCTCAGGTGAGCTCCAGGTGCTCTTAGGTGAGTTCCAGGTGCTCTCAGGTGTCTTCTCTGTCCTGTTCTTAGCACCTGGACCCTTTTGGAGCCCCAAATTTCCCCTTTAAACCCCTCCCAAATCCCCCAGGTAATTCCCAGGTGCCCCCAGGTGCTCTCAGGTGAATTTCCCACCCCAATTTCAGCACCTGAAACCTGAAATTTCCCCTTTAAACCCCTCCCAAATTCCTCAGGTGAGCTTCAGGAGCTCTCAGGTGAGCTCAGGTAATTCTCAGGTGCTTTCAGGTGAGCCCCAGGTGCCCCTCAGGTGCCCTCAGGTGCCTCTCAGGTGCTCTCAGGTGAATTTCCCACCCCAATTTCAGCACCTGAACCCTGAAATTTTCCCTTTAAACCCCTCCCAAATCCCCCCAAACCCCTCCCAAATTCCCCAGGTAATTCCTGGGTGCCCCCAGGTGCTCTCAGGTGCCCCCCAGGTGAATTTCCCACCCCAATTTCAGCACCTGGAGCCCCCAAATTTCCCCTTTAAACCCCTCCCAAATCCCTCCCAGATTCCCCCAAATTTCTCAGGTAATTCCCCCGGTGCCCCAGGTGCCCCCAGGTGCTCTCAGGTGAATTTCCCACCCCAATTTCAGCACCTGGAGCCCCAAATTTCCCCTTTAAAACCCCTCCCAAATTTCTCAGGTAATTCCTGGGTGCCCCCAGGTGCCCCCCAGGTGCCCCCCAGGTGCTCCCAGGTGCCCCCAGGTGCTCTCAGGTGCCCCCAGGTGCTCTCAGGTGAATTTCCCACCCCAATTTCACCACCTGAACCCCCAAATTTCCCCTTTAAACCCCTCCAAACCCCTCCCAAATCCCTCCCAAATTCTCCCAAATTTCTCAGGTGCCCCCAGGTGCTCTCAGGTGAGCTCTCAGGTGCTCTCAGGTGCCCTCAGGTGAATTTCCCACCCCAATTTCAGCACCTGAGCCCCCAAATTTCCCCTTTAAATCCCTCCCAAATCGTCCCAAGTTTCTCAGGTGAGTTCCAGGTGCTCTCAGGTGTCTTCTCTGTCCTGTTCTTAGCACCAAGACCCCTCTGGATCCCCAAATTTCCCCTTTAAACCCCTCCCAAATCCCTCCCAAATTCCCCCAGGTAATTCCCAGGTGCTCTCAGGTGCTCTCAGGTGAATTTCCCACCCCAATTTCAGCACCTGAACCCTGAAATTTTCCCTTTAAACCCCTCCCAAACCCCCCCCAAACCCCTCCCAAATTCCCCCAAATTTCTCAGGTAATTCCCAGGTGAGCTCTCAGGTGCCCCCAGGTGAATTTCCCACCCCAATTTCAGCACCTGAGCCCCCAAATTTCCCCTTTAAAAACCCCTCCCAAATTTCTCAGGTGAGCTCAGGTAATTCCCAGGTGACCCCAGGTGCTCTCAGGTGAATTTCCCACCCCAATTTCAGCACCTGGAGCCCCAAATTTCCCCTTTAAAACCCTTCCCAAATCCCTCCCAAATCCCTCCCAAATCCCTCCAAATTTCTCAGGTAATTCCCGGGTGCCCTCAGGTGCCCCCAGGTGTCTTCTCTGTCCTGTTTTTAGCACCTGGACCCTCGAAATCCCCAAATTTCTCCAGGAAATTCCCCAAATTTCCCCTTTAAAACTCCTCCCAAATTCCCCCAAATTTCTCAGGTGAGCTCAGGTGATTCCCAGGTGCCCCCAGGTGCCCCCAGGTGCCCCCAGGTGCTCTCAGGTGAATTTCCCACCCCAATTTCAGCACCTGAGCCCCCAAATTTCTCCTTTAAACCCCTCCCAAGTTCCTCAGGTGAGCTCAGGTAATTCCCGGGTGCTCTCAGGTGCCCCCCAGGTGCTCTCAGGTGATTTCCAGGTGCTCTCAGGTGTTTTCTCTGTCCTGTTCTTAGCACCTGGACCCTCGAAATCCCCAAATTTCTCCTTTAAAACCCCTCCCAAATTTCTCAGGTGAGCTCAGGTAATTCCCAGGTGCCCTCAGGTGAATTTCCCACCCCAATTTCAGCACCTGGAGCCCCAAATTTCCCCTTTAAACCCCTCCCAAACCCCTCCCCAAACCCCTCCCAAACCCCTCCCAATTCCCCCAAATTTCTCAGGTGCTCTCAGGTGACCCCAGGTGACCCAGGTGTTTTCTCTGTCCTGTTCTTAGCACCTGGACCCTTCTGGAGCCCCAAATTTCCCCTTTAAAACCCCTCCCAAATCCCTCCCAAATTCCCCCAAATTTCTCAGGTGAGCTCAGGTAATTCCCAGGTGCTCTCAGGTGAATTTCCCACCCCAATTTCAGCACCTGAACCCCCAAATTTCCATTTCAAACCCCTCCCAAATCCCTCCCAAATTCCCCCAAATTTCTCAGGTAATTCCCGGGTGACCCCAGGTGCCCCCAGGTGAGTTCCAGGTGCTCTCAGGTGCCCCCAGGTGTCTTCTCTGTCCTGTTTTTAGCACCTGGACCCTCGAAATCCCCAAATTTCCCCAGGAAATTCCCCAGATTTCCCCTTTAAATCCCTCCCAAATCCCTCCCAGATTTCTCAGGTGAGCTCAGGTGAGCTCAGGTGAGCTCTCAGGTGCCCCCAGGTGCCCCAGGTGACCCCGTGTCCCCCCCGTTGGCAGCACCAAGGCCACGCTGGCCAGCGGGCACTTCATGAGCGTCATCAACGTGCTGATGCAGCTGCGCAAGGTGTGCAACCACCCCGACCTGTTCGAGCCACGCCCCGTGACGTCACCGCTGGTCACGCCCGGCCTCAGCCTCGGCGCCCCCGCCCTGGTGCTGCGCGCCCTGGAGCCACACCCCTTCCAGGTGAGACTGGGACAGGTGAGATTAGAGCCACACCCCTTCCAGGTGAGATACACACACCTGGGACAGGTGAGATTAGAGCCACACCCCTTCCAGGTGAGAGACTGGGACAGGTGAGATTAGAGCCACACCCCTTCCAGGTGAGATTAGAGCCACGCCCCTTCCAGGTGAGAGACTGGGACAGGTGAGACAGAGCCACGCCCCCTTCCAGGTGAGATACACACACCTGGGACAGGTGAGATTAGAGCCACACCCCTTCCAGGTGAGACTGGGACAGGTGAGACAGAGCCACGCCCATGACAGGTGAGATTAGAGCCACACCCCTTCCAGGTGAGATTAGAGCCACGCCCCTTCCAGGTGAGACTGGGATAGGTGAGACAGAGCCACACCCCTTCCAGGTGAGATACACGCACCTGGACAGGTGAGATTAGAGCCACACCCATGACAGGTGAGATACACACACCTGGACAGGTGAGATTAGAGCCACGCCCCTTCCAGGTGAGACTGGGACAGGTGAGATTAGAGCCATGCCCCTTCCGGGTGAGACTGGGACACGCCCCTTCCAGGTGAGACTGGGACAGGTGAGACAGATTAGAGCCACACCCCTTCCAGGTGAGATTAGAGCCACGCCCATGACAGGTGAGATTAGAGCTACGCCCCTTCCGGGTGAGATTGGGACAGGTGAGACAGAGCCACGCCCCCTTCCAGGTGAGATACACGCACGTGGACAGGTGAGATTAGAGCCACGCCCCTTCCAGGTGAGACTGGGACACGCCCATGACAGGTGAGACAGATTAGAGCCACACCCCTTCCAGGTGAGATTAGAGCCACGCCCCTTCCAGGTGAGACACACACCTGGACAGGTGAGACACACCTGGGACAGGTGAGACAGACTGGAGCCACACCCCTTCCAGGTGAGACTGGGACATGCCCATGACAGGTGAGATTAGAGCCACACCCATGACAGGTGAGAGACTGGGACACGCCCATGACAGGTGAGATTAGAGCCACGCCCCTTCCAGGTGAGACTGGGACACGCCCATGACAGGTGAGATTAGAGCCACGCCCATGACAGGTGAGATTAGAGCCACGCCCCTTCCGGGTGAGATTAGAGCCACACCCTTTCCAGGTGAGAGAGATTGGGGACACCGCCATGACAGGTGAGACACACACACACCTAGGACAGGTGAGATTAGAGCCACACCCCTTCCAGGTGAGATTGGGACACGCCCATGACAGGTGAGATTAGAGCCACGCCCCTTCCAGGTGAGACTGGGACACGCCCATGACAGGTGAGACACACCTGGGACAGGTGAGAGAGACTGGGACACGCCCCTGCCAGGTGAGACTGGGACAGGTGAGACAGATTGGGGACACGCCCATGACAGGTGAGATACACACACACCTGGGACAGGTGAGACTGGGACAGGTGAGACACACCTGGGGATGGGTGGGATACAGGTGGGACACACGCCCCTTCCAGGTGAGACAGACTGGGGACACACCCGTGACAGGTGAGACAGATTAGAGCCACACCCCTTCCAGGTGAGACAGATTGGGGACACACACCTGGGACAGGTGAGATTAGAGCCACACCCCCTTCCGGGTGAGACAGATTGGGGACACGCCCCTGCCAGGTGAGACTGGGACAGGTGAGACACACCTGGGGATGGTGGGATACAGGTGGGACACACCTGGGACAGGTGAGACTGGGGACAGGACACCTGGGACAGGTGAGACACACACAGAGATGGATGGGATACAGGTGAGACACACCTGGGACAGGTGAGATTAGAGCCACACCCCTGCCAGGTGAGACTGGGACAGGTGAGACACACCTGGGGATGGGTGGGATACAGGTGAGACAACGCCCCTGGGACAGGTGAGACAGATTAGAGCCACGCCCCTTCCAGGTGAACCTGGAGCCACACCCCTTCCAGGTGAGACAGATTGGGGACACACCCATGAGAGGTGAGACTGGGACACGCCCATGACAGGTGAGGACACACACACCTGGGACAGGTGAGATTAGAGCCACGCCCCTTCCAGGTGAGACAGATTGGGGACACGCCCATGACAGGTGAGACTGGGATAGGTGAGACACACCTGGGGATGGGTGGGACACAGGTGGGACACACCTGGGACAGGTGAGATTGGGGACACACCCATTCCAGGTGAGACTGGGACACGCCCATGACAGGTGAGACACACAGACCTGGACAGGTGAGACAGGGGACACGCCCCTTCTGGGTGAGACACACACCTGGGACAGGTGAGACAGATTGGGGACACGCCCCTGCCAGGTGAGACAGAGTAGAGCCACACCCCTTCCAGGTGAGACTGGGACACGCCCATGACAGGTCAGACACACCCCTGGGACAGGTGAGACTGGGGGCACACACCTGGAGCAGGTGAGACACACCTGGGGATGGGTGGGATACAGGTGGGACACACCTGGGACAGGTGAGACTGGAGCCACGCCCCTTTTGGGTGGGACACACACCTGGACAGGTGGGAGAAACACACCTGGGACAGGTGGGACAGATTGGGGACACGCCCATTCCAGCTGAGACACACACCTGGACAGGTGAGAGTGACACACCTGGGACAGGTGGGACAGGTGAGGTACAGGTCCGAGACACAGCTGGGACAGGTGAGACGCACCTGAAATACAGATAGGGACAGGTGAGACACACCTGGGACACACCTGGGACACACCTGGGGATGGGTGGGATACAGGTGGGACACACCTGGGACAGGTGGGACACACCTGGGGATGGGGTTTGGACACACCTGGAGGGATTTTGGAGCACCGGGAGGTGACTCAGGTGTGCCAGGTGTGACACAGGTGGGACACAGGTGGGACACAGGTGTGACACAGGTGTGCCAGGTGTCACCCAGGTGTGCCAGGTGTGACACAGGTGTGACTCAGGTGTGACTCAGGTGTGACTCAGGTGTGCCAGGTGTCACTCAGGTGTCACTCTGGGGTCACTCAGGTGTATCGCAGGTGACTCAGGTGTGGCTCAGGTGTCCCTCAGGTGTGTCAGATGTCACTCAGGTGTCCCTCAGAGGTGTCCCAGGTGTCACTCAGGTGTATCCATGTCCCCCAGGTGTCCCCCAGGTGTGTCCCCCCCCAGCAGGTGGGTCTGTCCCCGTTCGAGCTGGTGTCCCCCAGGTGTGTCAGGTGTGTAACTCAGGTGTATCACAGGTGTCACTCAGGTGTATCACAGGTGTATCAATGTCCCTCAGGTGTGTCACAGGTGTCCCCCAGGTGTGTCCCAGGTGTCCCCAGGTGTATCAGGGATGACTCAGGTGTCCCCCAGGTGTATCAATGTCCCTCAGGTGTATCACAGGTGTCCCTCAGGTGTCCCTCAGGTGTGTCAGTGTCCCTCAGGTGTATCACAGGTGTCCCCCAGGTGTATCAATGTCCCTCAGGTGTGTCACAGGTGTCCCCCCCCAGCAGGTGGACCTGTCCCCGTTCGAGCTGGTGTCCCCCAGGTGTATCACAGGTGTATCCCAGGTGTATCAATGTCCCCCAGGTGTATCAATGTCACTCAGGTGTGTCACAGGTGTATCAATGTCACTCAGGTGTATCACAGGTGTCCCAGGTGTGTCACAGGTGTGTCCCCCCCAGCAGGTGGACCTGTCCCCGTTCGAGCTGGTGTCACTCAGGTGTATCAATGTTCCCCAGGTGTATCAATGTCCCTCAGGTGTATCACAGGTGTATCAATGTCCCTCAGGTGTGTCCCAGGTGTATCGCAGGTGTATCAATGTGTCACAGGTGTCACAGGTGTCCCTCAGGTGTGTCCCAGGTGTGTCACACAGGTGTGTCCCTCCCCAGCAGGTGGACCTGTCCCCGTTCGAGCTGGTGTCACTCAGGTGTTATCCCAGGTGTATCACAGGTGTCACCCAGGTGTGTCAATGTCCCCCAGGTGTGTCACCCAGGTGTCCTCCCCAGCAGGTGGACCTGTCCCCGTTCGAGCTGGTGTCACTCAGGTGTCCCCCAGGTGTATCAGTGTCACTCAGGTGTCCTTCAGGTGTCCCCCAGGTGTGTCACTGTCCCTCAGGTGTGTCACAGGTGTGTCCCCCCCCAGCAGGTGGACCTGTCCCCGTTCAAGCTGGTGTCACTCAGGTGTATCAATGTCATTCAGGTGTATCACAGGTGTCCCCCAGGTGTATCAGTGTCACTCAGGTGTCCCTCAGGTGTGTCACAGGTGTGTTCCCCAGCAGGTGGACCTGTCCCCGTTCGAGCTGGTGTCACTCAGGTGTATCAATGTTCCCCAGGTGTAATCCCAGGTGTCCCCCAGGTGTATCAATGTCACTCAGGTGTATCACAGGTGTATCAGGTGTCACTCAGGTGTCCCTCAGGTGTGTCACAGGTGTGTCCCCCCCCAGCAGGTGGACCTGTCCCCGTTCGAGCTGGTGTCCCCCAGGTGTATCACAGGTGTCCCTCAGGTGTATCAATGTCCCCCAGGTGTCACTCAGGTGTATCAATGTCACTCAGGTGTCACCCAGGTGTGTCCCCCTCCCAGCAGGTGGACCTGTCCCCGTTCGAGCTGGTGTCCCTCAGGTGTATCAATGTCACTCAGGTGTATCACAGGTGTATCAGTGTCACTCAGGTGTCACTCAGGTGTCACTCAGGTGTCCCCCAGGTGTGTCCCAGCTGTGTCATTCCCCCCCCCCAGCAGGTGGACCTGTCCCCGTTCGAGCTGGTGTCCCTGGAGTCTCACCTGTCCCGCTACGCCGCCGATTGGTTCCTGCCGCGCTTCCGGGTCACGCGGCGCCTGCTGGAGGACGTGGCCCCGCCGCCCCCGAGCCCCCGCCACGCCCCAAACCCGTGCGGATGAAGGTGAACAGGTGAGGAGGGCACACCTGGGCACACCTGGGCACAGCTGGGCACAGCTGGGGAACGGCTGGGGGGGAGAAATGGGGGGAAATTGGGGGGAAATAGGGGGGAAATCGGTGAAAATTGGGGGGAAATTGGTGAAAATTGGGAGTTCAGGGACACCTGGGGGCACCTGGGCACACCTGGGGAACGGCTGGGGAACGGCTGGGGAGGAGAAATGGGGGAAAATTGGGGGGAAATGGGGGGGAAATTGGTGAAATTTTGGGGTTCAGGGACACCTGGGCACAGCTGGGGGGAGAAATGGGGGAAAATTGGGGGGAAATTGGGGGGAAATCGGTGAAAATTGGGAGGAAATGGGCGAAAATTGGGGGAAATGGGTGAAAATTGGGGGGTTCAGGGACACCTGGGCACAGCTGGGCACAGCTGGGGGGGAGAAATGGGGGAAAATTGGGTGAAAATCGGTGAAAATTGGGGGGAAAATTGGTGAAAATTGGGGGTTTGGGGACACCTGGGCACAGCTGGGCACGGTTGGGGGGAGGAATGGGTGAAAAATGGGAGAAAATCGGTGAAAATTGGGGGGAACTGGGTGAAAATTGGGGGGAAATCAATGAAATTTGGGGGAAAATTGGTGAAAATTGGGGGTTTTAGGGACACCTGGGGACAGCTGGGGGCACCTGGGAGGGAAAAAAAGGGCAAAAATTGGTGAAAATTGGGAGAAAAAATGGGTGAAAATTTGGGGTTTCAGCACACCTGGGCACAGCTGGGGCATGGCTGGGGGGAGAAATGGGGGAAGAAATGGGGGAAAATTAGGGGAAAATTGATGAAATTTGGGGGAAAATTGGGGGGAAATTGGTGAAATTTTGGGATTCAGGGACACCTGGGCACAGCTGGGCACAGCTGGGGGGGAGAAATGGGGAAAAATTGGGAGAAAATCGGTGAAAATTGGGGGGGAAATGGGTGAAAATTAGGGGGAAATTGGTGAAAATTGGGGGAAAATCGGTGAAAATTGGGGGTTCAGGGACACCTGGGGGCACCTGGGAGCACAGCTGGGCGGAGCTGGGGGGGAGAAAATCAGTGAAAATTGGGGGGAAATGGGGGAAAATTGGGGGAAAATCGATGAAATTTGAGGGAAAATTGGTGAAAATTGGGGGTTTTAGGGACACCTGGGGACACCTGGGCACAGCTGGGGGGGAGAAATGGGGAAAAATTGGGGGGAAATCAGTGAAAATTTGGGGTTTTTAGGGATACCTGGGCACAGTTGGGGGGGAGAAATGGCAGAAAACTGGAGGAAAATTGGGAGAAAATGGGTGAAGAGTGGGGGGAAATGGGTGAAAATTGGGGGGAAATCGGTGAAAATTGGAGGTTTCAGGCACACCTGGGCACACCTGGGAGGGAAATAAGGGCGAAAATTGCTGAAAATTGGGAAAAAATTGGTGAAAATTGGGGGTTTTAGGGACACCTGGACACAGCTGGGGGGGAGAAATGGGTGAAAAATGGGAGAGAATCGGTGAAAATTGGGGGGGAAATGGGGGAAAATTGGGGGTTTAGGGACACCTGGGCACAGCTGGGGGCACCTGGGAGGGAAAAAAGGGTAAAAATTGGTGAAAATTGGGAGAAAAAATGGGTGAAAATTTGGGGTTTTAGGGACACCTGGGCACACCTGGGAGGGAAAAAAGGGCGAAAATTGGGAAAAAAATGGGTGAAAATTGGGGGAAAATGGGTGAAAATTGGGGGGAAATGGGTGAAGAGTGGGGGAAAATTGGGGGGAAATTGGTGAAATTTTGGGGTTTAGGGACACCTGGCGGCACCTGGGGACACCTGGGACACAGCTGGGGACAGCTGGGCAGAGCTGGGGGAAGAAATGGGGGAAGAAATGGGGGAAAAATTGGGGGAAAATCGGTGAAAATTGGGGGAAATCGGTGAAAATTGGGGGGAAATCGGTGAAAATTGGGGGTTTAGGGACACCTGGGTACAGCTGGGCACAGCTGGGGGGAGAAATGGGGGCAGAAATGGGGGAAAATTGGGGGGAAATTGGTGGAAAATGGTGAAAATTGGGAGAAAATCGGTGAAAATTGGGGGGAAATTGGTGAAAATTGAGAGTTTTGGGGGCACCTGGGAGGGAAAAAGGGGCAAAAATTGGTGAAAATTGGGGGGAAATTGGGTGAAAATTGGGGGTTTCAGGCACACCTGGGCACACCTGGGGGGGAGAAATGAGAGAAAATTGGGAGAAAATCAGTGAAAATTGGGGGGAAATCGGTGAAATTTGGGGGAAAATCGATGAAAATTGGGGGTTTAGGGACACCTGGGGACAGCTGGGGGGGAGAGAAATGGGTGAAAATTGGGAGAAAGTCGGTGAAAAATTGGGGGGAAATTGGTGAAAATTGGGGGTTCAGGGACACCTGGGGATAACTGGGGGCACCTGGAGGGAAAAAGGGTAAAAATTGGTGAAAATTGGGGGAAAAAATGGGTGAAAATTTGGGGTTTTAGGGACACCTGGGCACACCTGGGAGGGAAAAAAGGGCAAAAATTGGAAGAAAAATGGGTGAAAATTGGGGGAAAATGGGTGAAAATTGGGGGGAAATGGGTGAAATTTGGGGGGAAATTGGTAAAATCTGGGGGGAAATGGGTGAAATTTGGGGTTTTTGGGCACAGCTGGTCCCACCTGTGGGCGTGGCCCGGCCGACCACGCCCATTTATGGCCGCAGCTGTGGGCGTGGCCCCGGCCTGACCCCGCCCCTTTTCCCAGGATGCTGCAGCCGGTGCCGAAGGCGGAGCCTCGGGCGGTTCTGCTCCTCCCCGCCCCTCGCCCCGCCCCCCGGGGGCGTGGCCTCGCCGAGCCCCGCCCCTGCATCGCCGAGTCCCGCCCCCTCCGCGCCCAGCCCCGCCCCTTTGCTGGTGCAAGCTCCGCCTCTCGTCACCCTCAGCCACGCCCCCAGCGCCGGCCCCGCCCCCTTGGTGACGACGCAAGGGGCGGGGCTGAACCTGGGGCTGGGATTGGCGCTGGCCCCGCCCCGGGCCACGCCCACGCTGCTGGCTCCGCCCCCCGGAGGGCCCGCGCATGGTGAGGGGCGGGGCTTAATGAGGGGGGGTTAATTAGGGGTGGGGCTCGTTAATTAGGGGTGGGGTTAATTGATTAGCTAGAGGTGGGGTTAATTGATTAATTAGTGGTGGGGTTAATTGATTAATTAGGAGCGTGGTTAATTAATTAGGAATGGAGCTTAATTAGGGATGTGGCTAATTAGGGGTGGGGTAATTAATTAGGATAACGGGCTAATTAGGTGGGGTTAATTAGAGCTTATTAATTTAATTAGGGCTGGGGGTTAATTAGGGTTGGATGTAATTAGCTGTAGCATTAATTAGTTAGGGGGCTTTAATAATTAATTAGGGTTGGGGTTCATTAATTAAGGGTTGGGTTCATTAATTAATTAGGGGTGGGGTTAATTAGTGGAGGGAATAACTAGTTAATCAAGGAGGGGGCTAATTAATTTGGAGTGGGGTAATTAATTAACTCAGAGCATGGCTAATTAATTAGTTACAGCTGGGGTTAATTAGTTAATTAGGGGCGCTTAGTTGACTAAATAATTAATTAACCTAATTAATTCATTGGGGTTAATTAATTAGGAGTGGCAGTTAATTAGGGGTGGGGTTAATTAGGAGTGTGGTTAATTAATAAGTGGTGGGGTTGCTGAATTATGGGCGGAGTTATTAATTAATTAGTGGGGTTAATTGGGGTAGGGTTAATTAAAGATGAATGCTAATTGCATGGGGCTAATTAGATGCGGGAGTAATTAGCACTGGCAGTTAATTAGGGCTGGGGGTTAATTAGGGGCGGGTTTAATTAATTAGGTGTGAGGTTATTTAATTAGGGGTTAATTGGATTAATTAATTGGTGCTGGGGGCTAATTACATGGAGTTAATTGGGGTGGGGTTAATTAATTAGGGCTGGGGTTAATTAATTAGGGCTGGGGTTAATTAGAGGCAGGTGTAAATTAATTAGGGATGCGTTAATTGGGGCTGCGTGTTAATTGAGGCGAGGGATTAATTAATCAGGGTTTAATTGGGGGTGGGCATTAATTACAGTCAGAGTTAATTGGGCAGGAGGTTAATTAGGAGTGGGAGTTAATTGGGGTTAATTAGGAATTTGGGTTGATTAGTGTTGGAGTTAATTAGAACCGGGGGTTAATTGGATGGGGATTAATTAGGGTAAGGGTTAATTAGGGGTGGGGGTAATTGGGGCGACGTTAATTAGGGATGGAGGCTAATTAGGGTTAATTAGGGTTAATTATGCGGGGGTTAATTTGGAAGGGCTTAATTAGGCAGGGGCTTTTAATTAGGGATTGGGTTTAATTAGGGAGCAGGAGTTTAATTAGGGTGCGGCTAATTAACAGGGATGATTAACGGGGAATAATTAATGGGGATTAATTAATGGGGATTAATTAGGGGTGAGGGGTTAATTGATAGTGGGGCTTAATTAATGCAGGGGCTTAATTAGGGGGGAGCTTAATTGGGGTGGAGCTTAATTAGGTGGAGTTTAATTAGAAAGGGGTGGGCTTAATTAGGAGGGGGGTGGGGCTTAATTAGAGGGGTGGAGCCTAATTAGAAATGAGCTTAATTAGCAAGGGCAAGACTTAAATAAGAAGGGGCGGGGCTTAATTAGAGAGAGGGGCTTAATTAGAAACAGGGGCTTAATTAAGAAGGGCGGGGCTTAATTAGGAAGGGCGGGACTTAATTTAGAAGGGGCGGAGCTTAATTTAGAAGGGGCGGGGCTTAATTCAGAAGGGGCGGGGCTTAATTTAAAAAGGGTGTGGATTAATCGGAGGGGGCGGGGCTTAATTAGGCCCGGTTTAATTAAGAGGGGTTTAATTAAAGGTTGGAGAATTGGTGGGTGGGGCTTAATTAAGGGTGGAGCACTGTATTTAAATGAGGTGGGTGTGGCCTAATGCATTCATTTCCTCCCCCCTCAGCTCTCCCGGCTGCGTCCTTGGCCACGCCCACCCCTACAGGAGGCCCCGCCCCCGTGGCCACGCCCACTCCGAATATGGGCAAAGGGGCGGGGCCGGCCCCGCCCCCTCCCGTGGGGGGCGTGGCCACGTTCGCGCTGCCCCAGCGGCTCCTGCTGGCCCCGGACATGCAGGCCCGGCTGCCCTGTAAGCCACGCCCCCTGCTTTGCATCTCATTTGCATGAACGCCCTTCTGAAGCTTTCTGGAGCCCGAAAATAATTATGCAAATTTTCCCCTTAAATTGCCCCGAATTTCTTCCAAATTTCCCCCAAATCCTTCTCAAACCTCTTCCCAAAACTTTCTTTTTATTTGCATCTCATTTGCATCTCATTTGCATGAACGCTCCTTCCAAGCTTCCCCAATCTCCACAAAAATTCTGGAATTTTTGTTTTTAATGGCCCCAAATTTCCTCAAAATTTTCCCCCAAATCCTTCTCAAACCCCTTCCCAAAACTTTTTTCTTGCTCATTTGCATCTCATTTGCATGAACATGTTCTATGGTTTTTTCTAATTACTAAAAGAATTTTAAGAATTTTTCCTGAAACTGCCCCAAATTTCCTCCAAATTTTCCCCAAATCCTTCTCAAACCTCTTCCCAAAACTCTTTTTATTTGCATCTCATTTGCATCTCATTTGCATGAATGCTCGTTTTAAGCTTTCTCAGTCTTTAAAATAATTATGCAAATTTTTTACGTAAGTTTCCCCAAATTTTCTGAAAAATTACCCCCAAATCCTTCCCGTCACTTTTTTCCTCCTCATTTGCATCTCATTTACATAAGCACATGTTAGAATTTTTTCCCAATTCCTAAAACAATTTTAAGAATTTTTTCCCAAATTGCCCCAAATTTCCTCAAAATATCCCCCAAATCCTTCTCAAACTCACTTCTCATTTGCATCTCATTTGCATAAGCGCAAGTACTTTTAAAGAAGGCAACACTGCTTCTTATTAAAATCTAATTTGCATAAGTGTGCTCATTAGCATCTGACTTGCATGAGCCACCCAAGGTTTTTTTAAGGCCCTCATTGCTGTGCTCATGAATATCTAATTTACATAATAGCATTTGTCATTTACATCTCATTTGCATGGCAGCCCCAACCGGAAATTTCCCTTGGTGACCCCTTGATTATCCCACTAATTAGCCCCTAATTTGCATAATTACCCAGGGGTTTTTTTGCAGGAATTTCCTCCCCCCCATCCTTCACATCTCATTAGCATCTAATTTGCATAAAATTTTCAAAAGGCCAAATCCGGACTGTAGCCGTACTCCTACTTACCATATGACTCTCATACAAATGTTCTTCATTAGCATCTGATTTGCATAGAGTCACCTAGAACTCTTTAAAAAGCTTGACCACACCTGTGACTCTTTAGTGCATTTGCATCTAATTTGCATAAACAGTCTTGATGGCCCCAAACCCTTTCTAGACACCTTCACTATTTCTCATTTGCATATCATTTGCATGAATTTCTCTAACCCCCATTAAAAACCCTTCTCATTGCTATTAAAATCTAATTTGCATAATTGTTCATGCCTACTCACATCTCATTTGCATGGGTCCCCCATCTAATTTGCATAGGCTCGCCAACAACCCTCTAAAGAATCAATTGTTTAATTAACGTCTAATTTGCATGAGCTTGTTTATTAGCATTGATTTACATTACATCCCCAAATACTTTAAAAGTAACTCGTTAGCACCTAATTTGCATAGTCATAATCCTCATTAGCATCTCATTTGCATAAACACTCCCAGAGTCCTTTAATGAGCTGTGGATTTCTATAGGAAAGCTCTGATTTTCATGTTAATTACCCCCTAATTTGCATAATTACCCAGAGATTTTTTGCAGGAATCCCTCCCCGCCCTCTTTCACATCTCATTAGCATCTGATTTGCATAAATTTTTGGAAAGGGCCAATTAAGAGTGCGACC